AAGGGGGGGGACGGGGGGGGACGCACAGTGCTGCACAGACAGGACACATGATATGAGTTGGGTGAAACATATTTCCAAATATAACAGAATCTAAGTTAACCACAAACAAACAGCAAACCTGGTTGTGTCTAACAACAATTTAAGATTTAAACTTTATCTTTACTTTTTAATCTCTAAATGTACGTCACATTAAAAAGTGGGGCAAACATTTTAATATATCCATCTGCTTTCAGGATTTAGAAAAAAAAAAAATATATGTATAGTTAATACATGCATAAACAAAGCAGATAAGTAAATTATGGACACGTGAAAGATACACATCTGCTCCTGCTCTGTCTAGTCCCTCATGCCTATTTATACCTGACTGGAATGCCAGTGACTGACTGACTGACTGACTGACAAAAACACACACACACAGCTTTACAGGCAGAGCTATTGTTCTCTTTGAGTCCTAGCAAAGTCATGTGCACCACTTATATATTCAGGCATTAAAACAGAACAGAAGGCAAACGGTGAGAAAAGACAGGGGGAGAATGTCAGGGAGTTTCTCTGTCACACACAAACACACAGCGAGAGTACTCACAGTCTTTCAGTGTTGCGGGGGATATTCCTTGGCATGGTCCTGAGACCCAGTCCGTGGCAGTCTACTGTGGTGCCACTGCAGGTACACAGGGCTGGGCAGGCACTGACATTGCCCATGAGCAGGGCAGAGAGCATCACCACCCACATCCAGAGTGGCTGCCCGGCCAGCCTGCCCATGCCTGCCCCAAAGCTGCTACCTCTAACGGGGCATATTCACCACCACTGCAGTCAGCTCTTCTTCAACAAACTCCTACTTCTCTCTGTCTTCCTTTGCCTCTCTGCAAAAACAAAGTGTCCTGCTACAGCACAAAAGTCCTCTAGAATAATTATATATTTGTGATGAATATAAGTAAAAAACAAAACTATAAGAAATGCTAATATTGTCCTCTTGACTGTGAAGCAATGCAAATCCTTTTTGTTCTTCTAGATTTCTTTTGATGTAGGTATGTTATCCACCACAGTTTGCTGATGTAAAAAAAGAAGCTATTTTCTTTCTCTTATTTTCTCCTTGCAAACTCTTCTCCTCTCTTGTCTTTGTGGAGTTGCAGTGCTCTGGTCTGCACACGTCTGCGTCTCTGTCCTCCTCTTACTCAGTCCCGCTCTGCTCTGCTCGCCTGAAGAGAGAGGGAATAAGGAAAGAGCAGAAAGAAAAAAGCCAGTCTCTCTCTCTCTCTCTCTCTCTTACATACACACACACCAGTCATCCATCACAAGGATCTACAAATAGCAGAGCCCCCGACTCCACCCCTACCCCTCCTCCCCTCCCCCACTCCTCTCCCTCCTCACACAACACCCCCCCAGAACCCTGCCTGAACTCACTGTCATTCTTGAGATCCCTCTTTCATTCCCCTAATTCTGATTCACAATACAAATCTACTCCCAAGTATCTTTCTTTTTCATTTTTTTTCACTCACTCCACTCCTTCTTTTCTCTCAGGTTTACCTTCAGGCAAACCCCTGGAGAGAGATGCAACCTGCATGACACTGCATAACCCATGCCTGAAGGGAGAGGCTGTGGGGAGACTGGGCTGGGGGGTGTGTGTGTGTGTGTGTGTGTGAGAATGCAACGAAGGAGAATCCACTGGGGAAGAGAGGAATCAACACCTCAAGTTCTCGGAGGCAAAAAGCCGGAATAAATAATCCACAAATGTGGGTCTTAGCATGTGGATCAAGTGTGGCCACACAGACAGAAGCTGCAGCAGGGAACTGGGGTGGAAAAGCACACACACACACTCATACAAATATTCATGATCAGTTGGGAAGGCAGACCACAGCCATAAAAAGTAAGTCAACACTATATTTTAAGATCAGCATAGGCAATGGAACAAAGATTATATCCTAATATATACAAATGAGAAGACAAATAGCTACACTCACCACCATACCTGCTCTGTTATTTGGATTTATGGGAGTAATTGGCACACAGTCCCGCTCGTAATGCCAGGATCATGTATTCCCTGAAGCAGACTCAAAGCACAAAGACATAAACTGGACTGTGTTGAGAAGGGAAACTTGAATGATAAGCAGCTTCTTGGGGCCATTATTTACTTTAAAAGAATTCTTAATAAATATTGTTTTGCAAAGGTTGACATTTAGTCAAAACAGCTGATATATTAGAGTCTAGCCACTTTTGACAGTGTAATTGTCGCTTTCAGGAAACTTTTCCAAATGCATATTGACATGTAGTTCGTGAAACAGCAACTTAGAATTCTGGATGTGGGTAGGAAACAGACGTCTTGTTTTCATGTGTTCACTCCAAAGTGCATTGTTCAGTTATCCACACAATAAAACATATGGTGACACTTTGAAAAAATAAGTTACCATGGGAAAAGTGCAACAACAAGCACTTCTTGTACAACTCTGTCCCTGGAGCAGAATTTTTATTGGACCAATGTGTAATGATCAGATCTTTGAATACTGAACACCTACTTAATGAAGCACTCTTGATTAACGCTGGATCAGCTGCTAAATGGCACAAAACCAGTAACTAACAATTTGCTGCTTTCCTATTACACACACATATTATTTTATCCTCCCCCCCAAGAATGATTAATTAGGTGCTTATGTAAAGATTCACAGATACCTAGAGACTAACTCTTATACACTGGCTTGTAGATTGATTTGCGTAGTGAGTTTTTAGCAATCTATTTTTTGTTTTTTTAGGGTCTGTTTTGTATACATATAATTCTTGATTCAGAGTCAGTCAGGAACTACTACTATTCATTAATTAGCAGTTAGTTGGTTATTTGTTCCATACTTATTGCTTGGCAACTGCTCACAGTATTAAGAAGCTAAAAGTAACGTAAAGTTATAAACACCTCAGCAATGGCCATGGTTGGCTCAGCTTGAGCCACTTGGTCTGTGGTCTAGTTCTAGAGGACTTTGCTGTGGGGTGGATTCCCTCCCAACATAAACATCAGCACAATGACATAGACCTAAGAACCCCATTCACTTTAACTAACAAAGGCAGAAGGAGAAAAAAATAAACAGGCAGGGGTGATGCAAGCAGAAACACTAGAATAGGTCTGCATCTCTGCTATGTGGCTTATCAGCTCGGAAAATGTGCATTTATGCACACGCAGGTGTACATGCACATACACACCTCAGAAAAAAAGCACCACCTGTCCTGGTAAAAGTGTCAGTGCAGTGTAGATCTTCCTTCTATGAATGGCTAATGAAAGAGGAGACAGTGGTGTTTTAGTGGTAGTGGGGGCTGGTGGTAACGTCCCTCTCCACTCAGAGTCGTGATAGGAATGCACACAAATACACAATAGGAATTATTCTGCTGCTCTCAAAGCCGTGGGAGGATATGGCAGCAATTTACAATTAGTCAGGGAGAGGAGAGTTTGAAAAACCCAATACCTAAGAGGAGGAAGTAACAGCAATTAATGTGGAATAGCATCCAATTTAAAAAGTCACAGTATTCCAGAAGCCTGTGAAGTTTGATAAATATTTCCCTACAACTTGTACCCAAAGTTAGAACTCAACAAACCAAGCTCTCATGAACACAAAGCTGGTTGCTGCTCGTGGCTATAGAGGAGTTCAATAGTGGAATGAATCTGTTAGCTCCTGTGTGTTTGACTTTAAAAAATGAAATCTGCTTGATAGAGGAAATAGAAAGGAATCACAGCATTGAGTACATACAACAGCATTCTTCAAACTCTCTATGGTTGAAAAAAGGACACAACTATGCCAGATTCTACAAAAAGTAATTTTTCCTTTTTTACACAAATTATTTGTCATTGGCTTGCTCTGGTATTTCACGATCTGTAGTTCTAGACAGCATTGGCTCCTTCTGAAAGGCATTTCAATGCATACATTTAAAGCACAATCATCCCCACTCATCATATATATGCTTGTGGGTTTGTGCGCACACCAGATAATGTAAAGTTGATTACAGTACGTCTGACTTATTTTACAGTCATCTGCTCATTCTGGAGAAGGAATGCTAAATCAAACCCCTGTGGAGTTTTGGCTGTAAAACAATACTATTCATATCATGGAAGCTGTCTGTTGTTTATTTACAGAACATGAGAAAAAACAAGCCCATTCTCATAGATGTTTACAACATATACTTACAATACCAAACATGCACTGACATGGACACCATAATGACAGACATTCTTATTGTGGAGAGCTGCTTTACTATCCACCCACTCAACCTCCAACTGCATAGAATATTTTCAATTTGGGAAAATCATTCACTGCACACAGCAGTTTTATGTTTCTTTTGGTGGCCTTCTTGGCATATATTTTTATTGTTGGTCATATATAGACTAAAACAGATTTAAAGTTTGCTTGATTTGGCATCTATGTAAATTTGCGACGCATGTTGACGCATTTGTTTCGTTTCAATTTCGGTATTCTTTCTGTTTTTTATTGCTGTAATGGACACAGCCAACCGAGTTTACACACAATTTGTTGACTGTTGTAGGATGTTATGACTTGTACTGTTCAAGTTAGAAGAGGTCAAAGCAAAGGAGATAGAGAAGCTTAAAGTAACATTTGCTTTAAGGGAAATATTATATTTAAACACAAATGTGTGCACACCAGTCTAATATATTTCAGTTTTTTACTTTATGAAATATTGAGTGTTCACATATTTAGGGTATTTAACAGCACAGGAGTAGTTAAAGCCATGTCAATATGAGCTTATTAACAGCTTCTACTGGATTTAAGGAGAATATGCTGGACCAAAGGTGTTCTGGTTGACTAATTATTTGCAACTACACAGCATCACCTTGTGGCTTGCAAAAAAACAGCATCAGCTCAGACAGCAACATCCCTCGCAAAGAAATGAAAAGGAGCATACAGTCATTTATGGAAAGGTGGAAAAAAGACAAAAACATTGATTATTATTTCTGAACCCCACTAAAGCACATAATCTGACAATTCAAATAAAAAGATAACTACAGGAAGTAGCTTGTTGTCTTTTAATTACAGTGAGTTGCATAGTTTCACAGTAGCATCAATATCATCAGTGTAACATAGTCGTTGAACATGTTGAACATGCGGCGATTATCACATAATGTAGTATTGGTAACAGCTTGGCAGAGTGACCACTGAACTGAAAACTGCATTGAAAGAGTAAGACAACAAGGAGGTTTTAAAAGTGGCAGCGGCTCAAGCTCTACCAAAAAACACCTGGGTTAGCAACCACAATAGAAGGCAAACAACAGATTCACTCGAACTAACCAAATAAAAAAAAAACATAAAAATACACAATAAAACTGTACAGATACAAACACAGCTATCAATTTGTATACAATATTGCATAAGGATAAAAACTGGCCTGAGAAAAACTAAAATTTAAGACGCAAAAGATTTTAGTTCAAAGTAGCTCTAGTATAAAATATCACAGCGTTTAAACCCAAGATTTGAGCTAAAGTGAAAACAAAAATGTTTTTATAATGCTTCTGAGCTGGTCCTGTGGCCTTTCACTCCCTCCATTCTCTGTAACTCTTCACTCCTTTATTTCACCGACACTTGAATTCTTTATAGAAATTTCAGCATACTCTTAAAGCTATCAGGAACTTAAAGGAAATTAATAGAAATTGCATAACAAAGTTAAGATATAATCACTTTAAGGCACATTTCTGAATCTACCACCTTTTAGATAAAAGTCTTCAACGGTCTGCAATGACCGTGTGATTCTAACTAAACGTAATACAACTTACAAATAAATTTAACCTTTAAATAGAACAGCCTGCATATCACGTTACCAATATATCCAATGCACTGGATTCTTGAAAAAATTAAGATGATCAATAAAAAATAAATACAATCAGGTTTGCAAATAAACACGTTCAGTCAATGATAAAGCTAAATATTCACAAAAAACACATCACTTGCAGCCTGTAGAACATTGACCAAGAAATAAGGAAATTAAGATGAAACTCCTGCAGACTGGGTAAGAAAACTGGTAAATTGCATTGACGTAAAATAAAGCGTGTAACATCCTCATTGTTGTCCATTTTATGTCCCTTAAGACACTTCTGGTGATTTCTTTGCTGTCTTACTAACCTTTAAGACTTAAACTTAAGTTTGTGGGCAGCTGACTCAATCTAAACATTACACTGTTTACGCCTCAAGAAGATCCTTTAAGATCCTTTAATACCCCTGACATAACAGTCAGACTGATGTTTCCTTGAAGAGACCATTCTTTTAAAGATGATTAATCCTGGATGAGATGAGGAGAGGGAGGTAAAAAAAGATACATTTTTATTCCTTTGCATCAGGCATCATTAGCAACATAAGTCAAACTGAGGCCAGGCTTGCCTGTGGTTAACAAACAAGCGGCTGGAAATGCCAGAAAACTCCTTTAACACAATCATGAGGAAAACTACTCTACTAGTTGATGAGTTTTAGAAGTGAATTTTAATTAGGTTGGTTTAAAGATTATTACCACTTAAGTACTTCTCCTAAGATGTACATCACCAGCATTAGAGCATAGGGCATTATAGACCATTTCACAATTTTCAAACATTTTGAATTGGCCCAAGTTTATTTACTGTCAGCGTCAGTATATACCTGGTGTAGTCTACAGGACCAAAACAGTAGGCGGTGATGTTTTCTATTAGTGAAATTCAGTTACACAAGCCGCAGGTTGTCAGTCTGAGACTTATTTCATAAAATGTGTTTGCTTTGAGGTGTAATAGTGCAATACTTACTCCTCCAAAGGTGGTGTTTTCCCTTCCCTGGACATCAACTGAATCGCTGGGTTGAGGACTCTGCCGTCTGTTTTCTTTCTCTGTTAATACTTGGCTTCCCAACACCTTCCGCTGTTTCATGAACACATTTTCATTACTGGTAGATGGATACTGATTTAGAGGGTAGTGCTGTATTAAAGATTTATAAGCCAACATGTTGTTTTATTTTAAACATGTTGAATGCATTTCTGTTATCATAAAACACTGAATTTTAATATTTTCGAACTTGCATAAAGCCTGAAAAGTGAAGGCTATCGCTATCCACAGGATTACTGTCAACAAACCTTGATAATTCCACCTAAAGAGCGTGAACGCCAATGTTTCCTGCTGAATGGCGTCCGTGAGTCAGCCGAAGGTGTCAGCAAAGGCTGCTTTTCAAACTACACACAAAAATATAAAACACATTTAGGTGTTGCGTTGCAAGTAGTAATTTACCTGTATGTCTTTTACCCTCACAACGTACCTGTCTGATGAGTTTCTTCTTTTTGGCAGACTCAGGCATGTGGCTGACCTGTTGGTACAGCTCTCTGAGGGCAGATTCAGTATAACTTTGAGTCTCAGATGACCTGACCTCACCTCTGATTGTTCTCATGGAGGGAGAAGGGGAGGCAGCTGTAACAGCAGGCATGGGCCCATCATTAGTCCCAGAGCAGAGCGTCAAATCATCCTAGAAATGTGAGACACAGCATGAGACCAGATATTTTAAATTGTTATCGCACTGAAACCACAAACTCTTTTCAAGACACATGAAAACAACATTATCACACCTTACACAAACAACAAATCTGAACATCGACACACTTTTCAGAAGTGTTATTTAAACTGTATTTCAAGGTAACACAGGGCTGCACAGTGAAATAAAGTTATGAGACACACACGGAACATAATACAACAGATATATATATATATATATATATATATATATATATATATATATATATATATATATATATATATATATATATATATATATATATATATATATATATATATATATATATATATATATATATATATAATACAATACAACAAGGTATAACATGAAGTACCTAAAACTAACGGAAACTGAAGTTACTGGATTCAAAGGTTAAAGAAAAACATTACTGTGGGAGCTTTGAAAATAGCTTTATAAAAAATTGTAATGCAATGCTGACACTTTCTTTCATTAAGATGAACATAGAAAAAAAGAGAAAAGTAGAAAATGCTCACCTTTGATAGAAGACTTTTTGATCCTGTGAAGTATAGGCGGGTATATTCTTTGATATATACAGGTGCCTTGAAAAATAAAACACATACATTAATTCCTCTGATGACTCACAAAAATGAATCTAGTGTACCATAGAATCATATAATTAGTATTTAGAAATGCATGACCTCACTCTTACCCTAAAGCACTGTGTATCAAAGCTGCCAATGTTCCACTTAAAAGGGTACATGGACAGTTTAGCAAAGAAACACTGCCTGCTATAATATATGAACTACTAAAACTAAAAGGCTGCTGATTGCAGGACATAGCCATAAGTGATTTTGCTTTCATATTTAAATTCCGTGATCTGTGTGCTCTTTACCCTATTTGCATTTCTTGTAACCTTGGCAACAACAACATGAAGGATTAATTCAAAGCAAAGAGAAAACCCATAATGAACTGACAGAGGAAGTATGACTTCCACATGGTTGTGGTAGACACAGACACTGTATATTTAACACATTCAAATTCTAATTAGAAAGACATGTCAGTGTTTTGTTTTGACATGACAGTAACGTTTAGGACAGAAGAACACAGACAACCTCAGATAAAAATCACACATTATTTTGCTGTTATGATCAGATAGAGAAAAGCAACAACAGACAAAACATGTTGCATTTAGTGTAAGTAAGCCTAACTACAGTTGCAGAATAAGAAAAATTTCAGAAACAACAGGCTATAAAGCTGCTGACCTTGAACAGTTTTTGAGAGTGCCTGATGAGGAACGCTATGCCATTATTCAGTTTCTCGATGTTTCCTTGTAGATCACTTGCCGTCACCTGCAACAAAAAAATACAGAAAATATGCCAAACTTTAAGAATGCTATACAGTGGGATAACATACTTGAAAGGTAGAAGAGAAATAACCTATAGTCCTTACATTCTTGGGCCAGATGATGTGTGGAGCAAACATTGTGGCTAGATTGATAGCGGACATCTTGTTGATGTTCTGATTGCGAGCAGTGTGGTACAGCAGGTCCAGCAGCAGCTTCAACAGGCTGCGGTTGGCTGGTGGAAGCAGCATGAAAAGGAGCTGAAATGCCTCAATCTGGCGTTCCTTGTCGGGCACATTCGTCTTCTCTCCTTTATCATCAAAGCGAGTCAGCTCTGGACACAGCAGATGACAGAATTATATTATCTTTTCTCCACCTGAATATTATTTTATCTTGAGCTATGACAAGGATCTGTATATAAGTCAACCAACACACCTCCAATCTTCAGATGAGCATGATAGTGTCTGTGCGTAAGCAGAGGCTCTGGCAGCTCTCCCAGGTAGGCTTTGAGCAACGTGGCTGCATCATTAGGGTGGAAGTCGCCTGTCTCTAGATCTATCTCTGCCCCAGCATTCAGCATCTCCCTCAGGGCTGCCTGTCTTAGGCTGTGGCCTGGCACACGGAACAACCCCTCCACATGAAGGTCTGAGCGGTGGGAGAGAAAGATGGAGCGAGACAGCCAAAGAGGAAGGGGCAAAAAAAAAAAATGAAGCAGAGTGAAAAAGACATAGGGAGACAAAGAGACAGAAGTGAGGAGAGAGCAAATGAATGAAATGGAGGGAGGGAGACAGCAGGAGCAAAGTGCTTTCAGATAAATTATTGACCCAAGCATTTGCTCCCAGTGTCCACTTTCAGTGAATGACATCATCGCTTTCTAGAAATAAACCATGACCTCATGCTAATTTGCTGCTCTCCAACTAAGTGAAAGTACCAGTGTCAAGAGTTAGACGTATCACTGATGCTTAACAAATCGAATTCTTATAAGAGTTAAGATGCAGGCTGATCAAACAATTTGACTGGATATATCGAGATAGATCTGACAGAAATACTATCATGGTTAAGAATTTGTTTCCTTCGAAGGTCACATATGCAAAATGTATGTAGTCATGATATCACACATTGCTTTGGATGAAGGTCTCCTCCACAGGGTAGATGTTATGCATGTATATCACATAATACTCACTTTTACTCAGGTATTCAATGAGCTGAAAGATCTGTGATATTCCTTCTTCAGTTAACGGTGCACCAAAAATCACTCCTTTGTCTGAAAGGCATCACATGGCACAATAAGACTGATTGTACTCTTTGTGTGCACAATTGGATTTATTCATCACACCAATATTTAAGTCAATTTCATAATTTTCATCATTCACATGGACCTGCTTCCGGTTACAAAATATACAACAGCAGAAAGCCACTTAATCTACAAACAAGGCAACTTTGGAAATAAAAAAAAAACAGGTATAGTTTGCAGAGGGCTTACGTGGAGAATGAAACTAACCATTACTTTAATTATCAATAAATCTGACAATTTGTCAATAAATTTATGATTCAGTCAATACAAAATTATTGTCCAACTATTCTGACAATCAATTAATCGTTCAAGTCAAAAAATCTCAAACATTCCCTTGTTCCTGGTTCTAAACCGTGACCATTTGCTGCTTCGCCTAATGTGATAATAAACTGAACAGCTTTAGATTTTGGACTGTTGGTCATTCAACAAAAAAAAGCATATTTGTTGACAAAGAGTATCATAAATGTTTTGTATGGTCTACCTCAGATTTGTGAAGTGATCCACTGTTTGGCTTCAAGTGTTGAATATAAAGAAGAGTTTAAACAACAATTAACCATCAGGTTTCTTCAACTTTAACTCAGGAGCAAAAATCAGCCTTTAAACTCGAAAGATATAAAGATTTGATACTTATTGTGATAATTATTGATATCGAAAGATTTTAAACTTTTTTAACTATTTATATACACACATATACACACACACACACAGAGGAATCAAAGTGTTTGGTAAAGTCCTGATGAGCTTCATTAGACTGTATGAGGTAAAGTTATGTGGATAAATGAGAAGTGGTGCCTTTTAGGTTTTGTTTACCATTTATAGTCTAATGATATTACTCAATAAAATTACTTGGCACAACCCATGTATGTGTAAAACCGCGTTTCAAAGATGGTAACGTTAAGCACACTAATAGCTCTGTTTGCCTAACCTTTTCGTTTGAGGAAGTTGAAGGAACGTAGAAATCCACTGGCGGAGGGCACCCTGAGCTCAGACTCTCCTGTGAGCTGGGAAAACTCATCCCCTGGAAGGTCTATGAGTCGAGTGATATTGCTAAGTACCAAATCCGTGAAGGCCTGTGGATACTCATATCTCAGCCTCTCCACAAAGAAATCTGGGTTAAAGATCACAGGCTGGCTTGAGTTTGGCTTTTCATGTCTATTAAACACACTGCAGTTTGTCCCCCTGTTAAAGAGAAACACAGAAGCCGGGGGGGGTTCCGTATTGAGGAACAGTGGAAACGCTTGGACCTGGTGCATAAACTTTAGCAGTTAATTAAGAAGGGGTCGTTATTTGGCATACATTACATACAGTTTAATTAGCTAACGTTAGCGTAACAAGCTGTTGCTAGGTTAGCTTCGTTGGCTAACGCGGTAATGTGTCTGGTAACGTTAAGTTACAATACTGAGTAGTTAACAACAAAGATATTTTATTAGCTGTAATCCTGGAAACTTAGTTTTATAACATGTTAATATTAATACGACATACTAAGCGAAAAGTTGGTAACTTACCTTCTGTCCAGTTTGTGATTGTTTTGGGGATACTTTTCAGTTTCAGCCGCCATCTTCGTTTTGAATCTTCCGCTGTTTCATCTTTAGCCCCGCCCACGGCGTTATGATTCGCTGAAATAGACCGGTGAGCTGTAGGGAGCCAGAAGGGCTTCCTTGTGACGGTGACATCACGTACCGATCATTGGGCTGATGTCTGCGACTTTGCTTCAGGGAAATAAAGGCGCGCGGCTGAGTTTACTTTCTATTGTGATAGTTTTTTAACACCTCTTGTGAGAAGGATCAGGTTCCAGCCTGGACACCTCGTCCTCTAGTGAGGAGAAAACTTGTTTCCATGAGATGAGAGATCTCTCTCTTTCTCACCCATTGCCATGAATGTTTAGGTTGTTCAGGCTGCAATGTTGCCAGAGCACAAATTCACATAAACTATATAAATAAATAAATAAAAATATAATTAATTAATAATGTGATAATTAAGTTACTTTATACAAACAACAGTGGTTCTCCTGTTGCATGAGGAAATACATTTAGCTGCAATGATATGGCAGTAAGTAGGAGAGTTTCTGTGTGTCTGATTTAGCTCTCTCTCGTGCACACACACACTGTTTGGAGCAGGCTTTTAGTCTGTCTTCTATTGCTCCTGTGGAATGGTAGTTCAACATAAATATAGACCTAACTATAAAATATTAAAAAATTAAAAGTAGCTTAGATGTAACTAAGCTACTTTTGCCACACTGCTGTAGCTTAGCTTGCTACATTTCACTGGGGGGTAGCTTCTGTGTAGTGAAGCTTAATTTAATGTAGAGTAGCTAGTAGCTTAGCTCACAACATTTTCCAAGTAGCTTGCCCAACACTGCTATTTTCCAGACTGTGTCTGGGACAACCGAAAGTGAATACAGAAATAAAAAAATGCTCAATAAATAAATAAGCATCCAAATCGTTTTCCTCAAACGAAAAAGTTAAATAATACACAACTTAAAAGAGATATATCAATTTCATCATTGTAAAATTTTATTAATGCCTACATTTATTTTGTAATGTTTTTGTGGTGCATTTAATAGGAACTTTATTTATTTATTAAGCATATTTTAATTTTTGGTTGTGTTAGACATGGTGCCCCATAACTATGCAAATACAGTCCAGTACCAATAATATAAACATACACTTTTCATCACTTTCAATAGTTTTTTACAAAAGCCAGTTGAATTAACAAAAATTGAAATTACATTCACTAATTTTTGATAGATTCTTTTTTCCATTTTGGCAGCTCTAGGCTATCATACAGTTGGTGTGTTGGGAAAGAGTTGCTTATTTACGTCCAGCAGACAGAGTGCGATATTAACAATCAATTGGAGATGAGTTTTTATCCACCTGACACCTGAAGTTCAATATTTACTCATCTTTTGGGTGGTCTCCTCCAACTCCTGATGGAAATATTTGGTTCTTTAGCTGCTAAATATACCCCTGTGTTCACCAACATTTGTCTGTTTGCATTTTGGTGCTGGTTGGTCATATTCACTGGAAAAAGCCTGCTGCTCTTGAGAACAAGGTTGAAGAGCGGTGAGACTGACCAAAACAATGACCTGAAATATTCTAAAATGCTAGTGCTAAGGGAAATTGCCTGCCTGGTTCCAGACCTCTGAACTGACTCCCACATTTGTTCAGAGATTCATATAGAATGAAGTCACAAACAAATGGAAACAGGCACGTGCACACTTAGACATCAAAAGGGGCTCAAGCACCTGCCCTATTTCTTCCTCAAGAGAAAGTGGCCTTTTTTCTGGGATGCTTTTTATATATATATATAAATTAATTTATATACAGTATATATATTCCTGTTTGTGCACAGCTTTCCTGTCAAATAAATATATTTACTGAATAAAAAATATCAGGTCAGGAGATGAGACTGTGGAGTTCCGATGCTCTCTCTCTCCCTCTCGCTCGCTCCGCGTCTCCCCGCAGCAGCGCACACACACGCAGACAGGCAGCAGCCCCTCCCAGCAGTGTTTTTCTTGGCTTGTGTGGAGGTGAGTGGTGATGAACAAAAGACTAAACTCCCAGTGCCTCGAGTTTACAGCTAATTCGCAAAAAGACAAAAGGCAAGTATAAGTCTTACTAATATGTATGACTCATGAGCTGAGCTAATGTAATAAGTTAGCTAAAGTCAAGCTAAGGCAATTTATCATGGTTGGTCATACAGGCTAATGTTACTGTAGCCTACTTAATGTAGACACAACAGGTGAATACAGTAAAATTCGTGTCTAATAATGTAATCAGGATCGCCACATTGATATGCAAATTAGGCGTTAGGTAAGGCACTGCAGGTGAATAGGATAAAGAAAACTAAAGCATGTCACCACAGAGCTTCCTCAGTAAATGAATTACATCAAGACTCTTTCCCCTTGAAATGTTATGTTTAAAAATGCAGATTAGATTGTTTTAGTTCATTTAGAAGAAATCTACTAATGCAAACCGGTGAAAGGTAGGCTTAAAACAAACTCCATCTAAATGTGTATTTTGGAAGTTTTCTTTCCATGTATTGTTCCATGAGTCAAAGAAGACAAAAGCAAAATAGACCAAAATCTCAAAATTGACCACTAGCCTATATGAAAACGTGTCCTGCCTTTACATGATACAGATAACCCTCCCTCAAATGTGAAACCAAGTAACAATGAAAAGTGTTATGTAATCCAATAAGACCAAAATAATTAAAAGGGTTTACTGCCTTGTCAAAAATAAACAAATTATTAGTAAAAATAACGTTTTGTCAAAAAAATCATAAATAATTTTGAGAAGTGCTGTTTTTTTCACTTGAGCCCTGCCCAACAAAATGTCTGTGCAGGTCCCTGAATGGAAATGTATCCTGACCATTGGAACTGTAGAGATGGGTGTTCATTCCTTGTGGGTCTGTTATTATGAGAAACCCCTTTGATATAATAATAAGTCATTTGATCTTTTGTTAATATAAAAAAGTCTATTAGAGCAGCTTTTTTGTGCACTTCTTATATGCCTCCAACTGACCTTCTCAGAGTTCCTGTGTGGAGGTTGATTAGCTGTATACACAAAAGGAATTCTGATGATCACTGGTCAATGATGGTACTGGCCACTGTGCAACCACCTAATAATACATCCAATCAACAAATCTTTCATTAAATATTTTGGTACTGGATTGTACATTACTTACAGCTAGACCACACTTTATACAATGTATTTTTAGTGCAATGAACTCCTTTAAACTCCTCATTTAATAGTTGCCAACTAATCCATAATTAAATTAATCATTGCTGCTCTAATTTAAAATGTACAAAATCATTGTTGATAGCAACAGGTTCATCCCTCATTGCATTCCCGGACATGAAATGGCACCTAAGACAGTGAAAATGTCTCAGGTGACAACCTCTGTGTCTGAAAAGTTAAGCCAATGTAGAAGTGCCTTAAATCTGCATTATTTTAATGGCCAGCAGGGATGACTCCACTGGTTGCAAAAGAAATCAGACTGCATTGGAGTCTATGAAAAAATTACCCTACTTCTCACTTTATTTATTATGTCAGCAAACACTTTCCTAATGGGGGACATCACAGTGAATATGTCCACTTCTTTTACACAGTCTATGGTTTTGTCAAGCTGGTACACGTATGAACTAATTCTCCCTGCAGACTTGGGTAGTGCAACTAATTTTTTCCCACCCTGTCTGGTTTAGCTAGCAGCGTTCATAGAGTTATGCTTAACTCTGCCATTTTTCTGATGGTTCTCGGCTTCTGTTCCACAAAAGTGTGTACGTGTGTGTGTTTTACATATATTGGCCAATAACGTGTTATAATGTTTTTGTGTGTGTTGTATCACAGAAGATGACATGGATGGAGACATGGAGGATTGTGGACTTACTGAAGCCATGGTTGGATACTATAAAAGCAAATCCAACTCAAAGGCAATCTCTTTTTAACAATTAAAATGGCTTATTTTTATGGCATGGTCATGTTAGACCTTAAAACACAGAAGCATTTTGGCATCAAAAGGCCCTTTATAGTGTTATTCCACCAATAGGAATCTTCTTCTTGGACATGGTGTTTTTTGCCTAGAGAGGGCATAGACATAAAAAAAATCTCCAGGAGATGGCGTTGTTTGGCTCACAATAAGTTTGGAATAATGTGTACCCCAAAACAAAGACGGTGAGACCCTTAGAGCCATTACCAGTTAAGGTCTACTATCAGTCTACAGGAGTGTGCCAACCTCAGTCTTCCACTGATCCAAGGCAAGTGCATCACCATTTAATAGGCAGTTGTGGTTAACCTCTTCAACCTGCAGTTGTTAGTCATTGCTGTGTAGTCAAGCTTTGTTCAAATCCCCAGAACTTCACAGTAAATTCTAGTGGAGAGCCCAAATATATGCTGAATTACAGGAAAAGTGTAGAAAATTATGCACAAGACAACTACTGTAAGTATTTTTTATGTGATGTAATGCTGCAGTGCTGCCTTAAAACATATTGGCTTTCAATCACTCAGTGTAAGTGTGATGTAGCGTCAATGAAGCACTGTCCTACAATATGGTAACACATGTTATGTTTTAACTTTGAAACTCCCTAAGGAGGAATTTAAGGGAAATGGAAGTTCAAGGAGTTGGTGTGCTTAACAACATAAAAATGAATCAATACTATTTTTATGTTTTTATGACAGTGGTTTTCTGCTTATTTGCATGGTGTGTGGTCCTGGTTTGTGCTTTTCTGAGAACAGTGTATAGTGAAACATTGTGAAATAAAACTAGATATTGTATGGGATTATTTAATTTTTTAAGATTAAATCTTTAAACAACGAAATGTTTTGTTTTTCGACAAGGACCACAATGGAAATCTGGTTATTAAGACTTTATTGTGCCATCCTCTGGGTTCAAATACACATGTATGTGTTTTTGACATATATGTTTTATTATTTAACCTAAATAAATTAAAATCCTAATCAAATCAAACATCGCTATGTTTTGTGTTTGTGAGTAACTCAAGAGTCAGTAAAGATTCAGCAGGGATCTAAGGGAGCCTATAACTCTAATGAGCAATAGAAAAGGTGCAGTAGTAATACGAATTGACAATTGACACAGGCTGTGCTCATTAATGGGGTATCTACTTTACATATCATCAGGAACCCTTGAGTAATGTGTTGATAGCTGGTCTCAGCTAAGTCATCATGTCTCCTGTGGCTGGTTGTCTTGACAACTCAAATACTTTTCTACTCCACTCCACTCAATGCCAAATTCATATATGGCAGAAATATGCATTTATATCACACTCACAAAGGTATAAAATATACTTCTGTCACATACTGTAAATCATGAAACTTACAGACAAATCAGTTTGGTTCAAAAATGTGGTTTAGCTACATCAGCCCCAAATAGTGTTTTAGGCTAGAATACAATAAAGCACGATTGTGATTAACACTCTCAGTAAGCAACTCCTCTGTGAATCATTCAGGGTGCTAACCCATCATTTGACACTGTGACAGGCTAATGCATGGATTAGTAATGTACAAACCCTCAGTCTTCTTTAATCTGACCATTTTGTCCCTTCTCTGTGTTCTCTACATTGCAAAATGTATGTCACAGTACGTGCGTATATGAGCGCTGCACCTGAATAACACTTTTGAAGAATACATATTTCAAACTTAACATAGTAATACACACTACCACATCTCATCAAGTAATCTTTTGCACAGTTGTACATTGAGCTAAAGCAGTAGCTAGGACCACATTTCTAGAAATGTGGGATATATGATATCTCATACAAAAAAATTGCATTGCTACAATAAATGTCTTCACATCTGTCACAATAATATAAGTTTTTAAACACTAATCATATATTTCTAGCTAGACAAAAGCTACATGAGAACATAAATGTTGGCATCACAATACAGGTAAATTCCACATATTCTGTAGACACAGTAAACAATATTTACAAAAAATTACTGAAAACTACGGAAGCCCTAGGCGGCCATCCATTCAAATATTTTTCACTCTGTTTTCCCATGATTACGGGAGAATTACCTCGAGATAACAAATGTTGTTTTCCCCTGACAAGGGAATAATTATCTTGAGATCTCAAGATAACAAAAATTTAATACAGGAATCGGCATGCTTTGGGAGTTCATGTCTTATTAAGGGGAAAGCTCTCCCTGGCTCCATCATAGTTCGCACCTCGAATGGATTTCCCTGATTGAGAAGCAGGAATTTCCTCTGCCTGTGAATGATGGGGAAATGAAAAGTCCATAGGTTGATGGATGTGGACCAATCACCGGGACGCACACAGTCCAGTACATGCTTTATTGTGAGCAATTTGAAACAGTCTCTTCATAACAACTTTGTTGAAGAGGATTATAAAAAGATAAAACAAAAAAAATGGTCTTAAGTAAGGATCAAACGCAGAACCCTTTGACTGTGAGTGCTGTGCTCTACCAACTGAGGTAACCGGTCACACTGAATACCAATCTGAAATCTGAAATTACTATCATGAAACGTTTCTGCCGACCCCTGTGTTAAACAACTGGTTTGTTATCACGAGGTCACGAGTAAATTATCCCGTTATCACGTAAAAAACACATTCTTCATCTCGAGATCTCGAGATAATTATTTCATTTTCATTATCGAAACGGAGTAAGAAAAATATTTGAATGGATGGCTGCTTAGGGCTTCCGTAGATAACATATGACATGAGCTAGATTTCTCTGAGATGCCCTTGCAGCAATTAAGGGGGGAAAAGCAGATTTTTTTGGAAAAATATGTATTTAATTTTTGTATCCCAAAGTCATGAATGTGTTCAGTCTATAATCGTGTTAAAAATTTAAACACTCACAATTTAGAGTCTTGTTGTTGAAAGGGGCTTTCATCAGTGCTACCTCCATCCCTCTGATTTGATTTGTTCGTGACTTCATTTCTCCTTTTGTCCATCTTCTCTCCATAGCATTTACCATCAATCATCTCTCTGGGTGGTGTGCTTGCTTCTTCAGTAGAACTTCTCTGCCGCAGCCAAGACATGCCCCTATGCTTCCAGTAGCAGTGAGGCCTGAGCCTACCCAGTGTTCTCCAGCATGCCCTGCGAAATGTGTGTGACGAAATACAGAAAAGCAGCGGGTCCAGAGCACCATTGATATACCACAGTGGAAGGGACAAGTACGTTTTCAGGATTGTGTATACTGAAAGGACGGTATCTGACCACACTACCACATAGACCTGCATCAATGATGATGCAATGTCTGGAAAGTTGCAAACAAAAAAGGCTACTACAACTGCACCTGGAAGAAAAAACAGAGATTATTTTAATAGCAGAATTGCATTGCTTGAAAGACATCAACATGGTTAAGCAATACGTTTGCATTTAATATATTGTCTAAATGCCAGGCCTCAAAAATGCAGGTCAGATCCTGACAGTGTATGATGAGGTAACCATCAACAACACCTCATATAGTGTCCAGCTTCTCTGCTGCTATCTAATTGGCCAGGAAACATTGGCTAAAACTAAATGTTGAGATTCCAGCATCCACTACTTTGCATGGACATGTGAATAAAAAGTCAGTGTCTCACTTCCTGGAGTGAGCTGCCACTTAACCTTCATAAGGTCTTCATCAGACTGAGATACATCAAAGCACTCTAGAGATTTACTATTACACCACAAGACCTAAACAACCATTCATTCATCATTGTTCTGGGGCTCACCCATGAGTTTTAGAGCCCGCTTTTCATTTAAAAGTAGCTTTCCATTCTGATGACACTGGACATCTCGTCTTCCTTCTGGATCCAGCCGCATGAGACCCATGTTTCTCCTTTGACGTCCATTTCTCCTCAGGTAGAGCAGGATGAGCAGATAAAGTGTGAAGATGGCGACCAGTGGGACCTGTAGTTGGAGAGGCATGTAGAGTGCCTGTGTTTGATGCAGGTAAGCATATACAATCTGTTCAACAGCACATATCTCACCAGAAAGAAGAACCCCGCTCTCAGGAGCAAAGCTCCTTTGTAGATGTGTGCAGGATCAGGCTCTATCATCTCACACATTGTGGAGACATGGAAGGCATCTTCTCTCGTAGTGGCTTTGTAGTCCAGGATGCAGGCACGAGTCTGGTCATAGACTAGAGCAAAGGGTACTGCTGAGACCAGAGAAATGATCCATACTAAAAGAAGGCACGGCAAACGAGACTTCTGTTGGAAAGGACAGAGAGATGGTAGGAATTTCCAGTTCACATAGTTTTATGAAATGCTTAATATGGGATGCAATTTTACACATTGTATTTTATTACATTTTCTTCACTATGTGTCTTTTGCATTTCAAAAGATTGGCCTTCTGTGTATGGGCCACTTTCCTTATCCTTATTTTTTTTTACATTTCATTCTGGGATGCAAATATAGCAGAAGTAAAAGAAACCCATTCTGCTATTTCTATCTGACCAGGTTGAAGAAATGAGTTTTCAAGAGCTTCTTGAAGTTAAGAGGGTTGCCCCTGCTCTGATGGCATCTGGTAGCTTATTCCACCATTATGGGGCTGCAGATGAGAACAGCCGGGACTGAGATTGCGATATGTTAAGCAGTTTATGTTGAAAGAATTAGAGTAAGAAGAAGAAAGAATGAGTATGAACAAGAAACATGTAGTATATTTATTTTCTGCAAGTACTCAACCTTCAGGCTGGAGACAGACCACATAGTGTGGCAAATGGCTGCATAGCGCTCAGTGGTGAAGGTCACAATAACCCAGCTTGTGGTGGCACAGTACACTTGGCGGACCATAAAGTAGACCTTGCATACGGCTTGGCCCAGACGCCATGGGTAGCTCTCCCAGTAATACCGATACAAAGTTACCGGAATAGTTGACAGCTGCAGAATGTCTAAAATTTTAAAAGAGGGAGATGAAGGTAATTTAGAACGTTTTGAATTGAGGATGGTTGCTTGAAGTAGGCAATACAATGTACGTAGCTGTGGAGTTTAAAAAGGAACTGCCGAAGTCCAGGGCTTACAATATTAAATTGAAATTATGTATGAAAAAATAAATTTAGATATAATAAAGAATTATTATTCAGTGTACTCCAAAGTACAACATGACCATCTTTATAATGAAACAGAATATGAAAAGCAGTTGCCATAATTGGGACCTGTTGATACCAATTCAGTAAATCCACTGTATAACATTAATACATATCAGGAAACAAGCCTGAAAACATTCAGTAGGAAACTGGAATTTCAATCTGAAAATGCAACTGACAATTAAATGTCCATTTGACACTTTTTTTTTACACAGTTTAGCAGAAATTATGTGTTTTCAAAACATGAAATTGTTTTATTAGATTATAATTTAAGTAAGTATTAAATTTAATTTAATTTTCCTTGAATGATTTCCATTTAATATTGTTACTCCTGGCCTTCCATAAGGCGCATGGTAGTGCGTACCTGATATGACCAGGCTGAGAAGGTAGAAACGAATGGCACTGACTCGCATATGAGCATCCATGAGGAGGGTCAGTATGCTCACACCATTGAATAAGACCTGCAGAGTGTGAGGAGATGGCATTTAGTGGTCTACAGTGTCAGCATATTATTAATGCTATACGCATACCACTTTGACAGAATTGGCTTGTGTGTCAAGTGTGTCCAATAAATGAATTTTCATACTCCGAAGAAGAAGATGATGCTGTAGAAGATGGTCATGGGGATAGCAATTGTCAGCGGCTCACTTTTGGTGACACTTATGTCGAGCTGTGGCATCTCACTTGGGCTGACATTGCAGCTGAAGAGGAAGGAAATCTTCCCTGAGTGGTTCATGGTGAGGCAGCTGATTGAGAACTAGAAAGACATTATAGAGAAAAAGATAAAATTCCATAACTCAGCTGGGTTACGTATAATAAAAATAATGGGTTTACTATTAATTAGGTTCCTCCACTATGTTAGAATACATTAAACTGATTAACTGACAATTATGTTGGACATAGCAAACATTCAGATCAGATGTCATTCTAAGGAGGGTTAAATCAAGGGCAGACGTTTCACTTCTCATCCAAGAGGCTTCTTCAGTTCAGAACTGACCACCGTAACTATGACCTGGATGACTGATGATTTTCAGACATTGTTTTTAAATGAGTAACTAAGCCTGTTTTTAAATGAGTGCTGGAATACCTATGTTTTTCATGGTGTTGCATAGATTTGGTGTGCACAATTTAGCAGTTCCAGAAATAGCTAAGAGGAGCACCTGCTGTGCTCTCCCATACTACACGGAGATTTTATAAGAGACAGACCTCCCGTGAGAAGAAAAGGAGAGGGATAAATCAGTTGACCTGTTGCACAAATTATGCCACCTTTTGTGAACAAATCATCAACACAGTTGGAGTCAAATCTAGAGGCATATAAATGACTAATTATAGGGCACAACATGCAGAGTGCACTGTAACAAGATACATCTGTCAACCTTTCATTTTAATTATTTAGGACAGGTCTAATTCAAATTGGACATGCACACACTGTATAACCTGTTACACTGCCAGTATAGCCGGTTGCAAAATCAAGATAATTGTTTGCAAGCCATTATTGTACACTTACATATAATAGACTTATTACTTACACTTAATTTGAAGGTGTATAAGATCAATAAATGTAGACTTACCTTCTAGGGGCAAAAATGCACGATGAAGCCAAGCAGCTCTCTTCATGAGCAAGAAAAACCTCCTTGTTTGTCTCCCTCCTTCCCTCTCTGACTCTCTCCCTCTGTCTGTAACTCTCACTCTCTCATTGTCTCTCCATCACCTAATCCATCTCCCTCCCAACAGTGGCGAATAAAAAAATCCCAAGTCAGTGCAGCTGCTATAATATTCAAGACAGTCTGACAGTGAGTTGAAAATATAAATGAGCAATAAAATTACTGAGTGAAACATAGTGACCCTTTCCACAATCAGCATTGCTTCTGGATATTTCATGCAGATGTAAATGTGCACCTGATATTACTAGTGAGCGGATTAGAAATGCACTGGACACACTGCTGCCACAGAAACACTCATAACCTTGTTTTTGTCACTTATTGACCTGAATGTATTCTATTGAGACTAACCCTAGCCTTAATCAAAAACCCAAATGGATTGTGAGAGCAGAAATAAACACACGTCTGAATCACAGGCATTTAGGATGCTTTATGTGGCCAAAGATGAGGAATCACTATTAAATGAGTAGATCAATACCACTCTCATATGTTTATGCTGAATATGAAGTTTCAGCCAGCAGCCGGTTAAGTTAGCTTACGATAAAGACTGGTAACAGGGAGAAACAGCTGGCCTGGCTCTGCCAGAAAGTAAACAAATCTGCTTACCAGCCTTCTAAAGCTCACTAATTAACATGTTTCATATCAATTGTTGGTAACACTTTCCATGAAAATCATCACTATAATGACTTATGCATATATTTATGACATGATATAATGCTTCCATAGGACATAACAATTGTTATAATCACTTACAAACATGCATTAGGCGCTGTAAGTTCATAAGTCATTAGGCGCTGTAAGTTCCTTTTGATTTAATGTTTTATAATTAATAGTTATACCATTTTATACCACTGTGGACCAAGAATCTCCGACCATGTTCCGTAGTACATTATAACCATGTACTCTGCCTCGTTATAAATACACTTTAGTTACAATTTATAATTAGTGATATAAAATGGAATAATAGCTTATAGTAATGTTTAATGTTATATAGGATGTCTTTGTTTTAAGAAAGTGTTAAAACATCCATCCCTGCATAATATATTACAAGTGGACATACTACATGAATTAATTATAAGAACTTATAACACGCATTTGTTTGCTTTGAGTAAAGTGACACACATTTTGCGCAGGAAAAAAGCTTTTATTTATGTTTCTTCACTTTATGAACAATCAGTATGAATTTTGAACATTTTGCTGTTTTGCACAAAAACACCATCCATCCATCCATCCATACATCCATACATCGTCAACCACTTATCCTGCCTACAGGGTCGCGGGGGGCTGGATTCAATCCCAGCTGATATCGGGCGAAAGGCGGGGTACACCCTGGACAGGTCGCCAGTCAATCACAGGGGCACAAAAACACAACTTAATTAAATCAAGGAAATTCATTCTCATTGAGATGAGAACACATTGGCTTAGATGTTGTCACACATGAATGGCGAACCTATGGACAGGCCCTAACAGATGCAGTGGACAATTGTCAAACTTTTTAAAGACCATTTTATAGTAACTGAATGAGAATTATGTTTGGGCAGTAGGGATGAGAATCTCTTGGCACCTCGATTCAATCAGATTACAATTCAGAGGGCGGCGATCCATCTTGGTGCGCTAGTTTATATACCTAATTTACTTTACTAGCCTCAGCTCCTCCGTGGTCACCAGCGTCTTTCCTTTAATAATCAGATGTCAGACTCCTCTGGTAACTGAAATATAATTTAAATATGTGTACAGGACACCAGTTTAGCTTGAAACCAGTGAGAATGAGTTTCCTTGATGTAATTAACTTGTGGTTTTGTGCTAAACTGTTCAAAATTCATACTGATTGTTCATAAGGTAAAAATTTTCCGGCACAAAATGTGTCACTTTACTAAAAGCAAACAAATACTTGTTATAAGTTCTTATAATTAGTTCATGTGGTATTATGTCCACCTGTACACCTGTAACACTTAACTTAAAACAAACAAAGACATGCTATATCACATTAAACATTACTATAAGCTATTATTTCATTTTATATTACTAATTATAAATTGTGACTAAAGTGTATTTATAACGAGGCAGAGTAAATGGTTATAATGTACTATGGAACATGGTCAGGGATTTTTGGCGCACAGTGGTATAAAATAGTATAACTATTAATTATAAAACATTAAATCTAAAGGTCATAATGATTTATGAACTTTGCTATAGCGCCTAATGCATGTTTGTAAGTGATTATAACAGTTGTTATAATGTATTATGGACGCATTATATCGTTGTTTTACTGAACAGCATGACAGTGGTATCCATCTTCTCAATTGACTCTTCGTCATAAAATTTGATTATATCCTAAAATGTCAAACTATTCCTTTTAAGACCCCTTGTTGAAACAGAAGTTTATACAAACAATTTATGCAACAATTGAGCAGTATTTAAGAATATTTACTTTTCCCCATATAAAATGATTTGCATACAGAATATGATTTCTTTATATTTCTTCCTATAAATACAAATATTACAATATTTATTTATATCCATGCACATTCCAGCTTTTTAAATCAAACAACAAATGTCATGTATCAAATCAAAATTATTAGTGCAAAATCAGAGAGCTGTAATGTCTTCCAGTGTTATCCCAGCATCCTTTGCCATGGCAAAAAAATGGCCTTGTTTTGATAGGAGGTTGCTAGGAGAATCAAATTCCACTATTTTACCAGCATCAAGCACCATTATCCTGTGGAGGAGAAACACAGTCAGAAATAGAAACCTGCTGAATAGTGTACACGTCATCAATGCTGGCGTAGGAAGACAAACTTCCTGCTCTAATGTAAAGGAGATGGATGTGTACACATTTATATGACCATCCATCATCTGTTTGAATAGAAGGTAGAGAATGCTTTTTATTTCAGATAAGGATTATATTATATTAGAGTTTCATTTAAGGTGTGAATGTTGTGGGAAGCCCTGCAACAGACTGGCAAACAGCTTCCTATTTTTCCCAGCCTTTTTAAAAATGCTTGCTGGGATAAAGGAATATGCAGGAGAATAGATGAGTAGGACATTTTTTCCTAAATGTTCTACTCTGGTGAGCTCCAGTACAGGTGTTGTTGAGAACAACTGCATATACAGGATTCCTCTAAGATCAGTCCCAACATGTGCATCCTGTTCACTCTCATAATGTACTGCAGAATTAAAAAGTTAAAACTATTGTCATTGCTGTCTGCATTATTTTAAGATTTAATGTTTTTATTTTAAATTATGACACAACATAATATAAGCTTGCAAAAAAGGAAAATATTTAATATTAATCTGCAGGTGGCATGAGGGAGAGCTCAAAGCTTTAAATACATTGCCTCCTAGTTATTGCTTCAAGTGGACCTTGAGTAAAGATTATTTTGTCAAATAACACTCTTATAAATGTTTTTTGAGTTTTTGTGGGTTCCACACCATGCGCAGAACAAAACTAGAGCAGGAAGAAAGAAAGTTGCCATTGACAGGAGTGAAATGAGTGCTGAGACAACTCGTCAAAGTATTTTATAGGACGCTATATAGGACCCTAGGCATACACAGTGCGATTTTAGAAATGTTATTTAATTCCTGCTGTACAAGTACGTAAATCAAAACTGGCTCAAATCATACAGTGAATACGCCCAGCTTAACTCACCTTGAGCTGTCCATAACACTTTTCAGGCGGTGGGCGATGGTGAGGACAGTGCAGTGTGAAAACTCTTTGCGGATGGTATTCTGAATCAAGTCATCTGTCTCCAGGTCAACAGCTGCTGTGGCCTCATCCAGGATTAAGATCCGAGACTTCCTCAGCAGTGCCCGGGCCAGACACAGCAGCTGCCTCTGCCCAACACTAGCAAGAGAATAACATGCTAAAAATAGTGTTTTTGGAGCACAGAGATGACAATAAACCACAAATTTACATAAGTCATCATTTCTTGCTTAAAAAACACTTCCAAATATATTTCCAAGAGCAGGCAACAAAGTTGTCTTATGTTTATTTACAGGTATGAGGTAACTATTATGATATACATGGTATGGATTCCTGTTATTTGTGGGTAGGCCAACATGTAGCCTACTCCAGACCTTTCTCCACCTACAGTATGTTCAAACTGTTTAGTGCTGCTGTCCACTAAGCATGCACGTTCACGCGGAAGGCACATGCAGAGAGGTCAACTGTAGTTCAGACTCCCCAACTAAGCAAGCACACATTTGATTTCATTGCCTATACACAGGTCTATTACTCCTCTCTGAACATTAAATGAAAAACAGAAAGGTGATTTATTGATCATCATCAATATTTGGATACTTGAAATCTGCATGAACTGAATAGATGGTGAGTTTCCAGTGAAAAAACATTGAACAGCTCAATGCATTAACTGAATAACCATCGGTCATTACCAGTATGGTATTGTTGAAATTATACAGCCTTTTGCACATCTTTGTCAGGGAATTGCAAGAATTCTGGATCTGCATTTCAAATCTTGTTAATACTCCACCTAATTATTTCTAATAATCTCTCCCTATGTCATTGTCAGAGCAGGTTGTTGAGGAAGCAGTGGAGGTGAGAGACAGGGAAGAACAGGAAGCTGTAGACTACTTGAGTATGGATATTGTGTACTCCACAGCCACCTCTGATCCCGAAGTAGTCAGTCAAGCGTGAGTGAGTACACTAGTCCACTTGAACTGATCCACTTGTCCACTGCACTTACTACTCAGCTTTGTACTAGTTTGGGGGAATAGTACAGTCGTCATGTTTAAGTGGCCCACAAGGATTTGCTGGTGGGGGGGTATTCGACCGATTGTCCAGGGTCAGTCTGGGCCAAAAATGCCAGTCCAGCCCAGCCTTGAGTACTAATTATGATTTCAATATGTCTTGGTGTGTTTGCTCTGGTACGATTTGCACTACTCAGATTAGACTTAAATTTATTTATATGAGTACTGTACCTAAGGGGAAAGGGGGAAATACAGAAGCAATTAATACTAAATGCAATAGAAAACAAATAAAGGAATAGAGAATATTGGAGAGGACATTTACGATGCATTTAGGAGGAATGTTTGTGTACCGTATTTTTATGACCAACTGAAAGTAAACTGGTTCACACTCAGAGCAAGTAATAGTATTCAGAAGTTCTCATTTGCTGTATCTTGTGGAAGAGTAACATTTATTGTTAACCCACCTGAGGTTCTCTCCCCCCTCTGAGACTTCATGTTGTAATCCTTCCTGCAGCCCCGCTACATAGTCCTTCAGATGGGAGAGCTCCAGCGCTCTCCAGAGGTCCTCATCACTGAATTTGTCAAATGGATCCAGGTTCATCCTCAGAGTCCCGGAGAACAGCACGGGATCCTGCCCGCATACGGTTGAATAGGTCAGTGTACCATTAAAAACTGAATGCTGTGCGTGGATTAGAGTTATAATGTTTATGTGTATACCTGCGGTATGATCGTGAGCCTGTTTCTGAGGTCATGCAGGCCTACTGTGGAAATATCTATATCATCAATGAGGATACGACCTTCAGCAGCTTCAATAATTCTAAACAGGCAGTTGGTCAGGCTTGATTTCCCAGCTCCCGTGCGGCCCACTATACCAATCTGGATGCAGTGAGAGACATCATTTAGGGTAACTTAACATAATGGCAGACACATCATTTTATATGTTTTATATCCTCTAGTCAAAAATCGTCTATTTCTGGATGTAAAAAGTGTGTATTTGTATTCTACAAAACTGGAAATTTAAAGCAGTAATTTGAAGCTTTGTCACATGGCTATGTGTGCTACACTGAGTTTGTGAAAGTTAAACCAGCTGTCCAAACACTGAAGTGTGTTTTGAACCGGGATGAATTTTATGTTTAAGTCAAAGAGTATAAGTCAAAACACATCTGAGGAATTACCTATCATTGGTCGTCGCTATATTGGTTCTGAGGGTTTGAACACAACATTACAAAATGTTCCCTTATGATTTCAATCCCCTCTTCCATCCTTTCAACCTCAGTTTAAAATTTGTTCAAAGACATTGCTGAGAGTAGAACACAGAAAAGTACACTGAACTGTTGCCAGGGACTTCCTATCAGGGTTCTGTCCAATCACAAACAAGTTGTCCCACCTTTTCCGTAATCTGAAATGTCGACGTGTTTTGTGAAATGTCGTATTTTCTGAAATCTTGTTGTGTTTTGTGAAATGTTGTGTTTTGACCCTCAGGGTCACTGTATATAAAGCACCTATATAGGGGTTATAGTGAGCCTGTGTGCACACTGCAAATATAGAAAAAACCCAAATGATGAAAGATTCTAGGTTCATCAACAGAAAATCCAGGTAAAAATAAACGTGGCCACTTCAGTCAAGCCTGCTGTAAAGAAAAATCTGAGATCAGACTAGAGTAAACAAACCATCAATATTGCCTGGCAAAGATGAAAGGCACAAAATGAGATGGGACTGAAAATAAATTCAAATGTAGGTCATTTTCTTTTAGACCATTGGCTTCACCATCATAAAGACACTGCAATATAAACAGTCCTTTTGAGTTTGTAGGTTAGTGCTAAAATTGACTTCAAAAAAGGTACAAATTTGCCACAGTGTCAAACCTCTTGTTGATTGATTTTACAGGTTTTGTAGATTTAATGTTACTAGTCATGTACAGTATGAGCATGTGACAACTGATTGCAAAATACAAACAGCATAACTAAACAGAAGTGTTATGTTTTTATTATTATTATATCTATAGTCATCTATTTACATGTCTGATATTCCATATTAGCTGCATACTAGAACAATACTATTGACATGGGATTTATCTATTTGGCAGTCCATTTAAGATATATTTGATCATACACACACCGCCAGGTATAGACATACACACAGACCTTCTCAGTGCTGTCGATGGCACAGGTGATTCCATGCAGCACCAGGTCTAATCCAGGTCTGTAACGGACCATGTAGTTTTCAAACTGTAGCCTTCCTGCAGTGGGCCACTTCTCTGGAGGCCGAGTGTCAGTTACCCACTTAGCCTGTAGAAAGAAATTGCTAAGGTAAGCTATGACACATCTGTCTATTCCTGATATGAAAGGAAAACACATTAAATGGCAAAATGACACCTTCTCAAGACACTAAAAGTCTCTATAAGCCTCTGTACCAAACGTAGAACATGTGAAAGGTCATCACATTTATTAAAGAAAAATGAAAGGAATCAAAGGAAAAATAATGTCAAGTGCAAATCCAATTCAAGGAAATGGTGGGAATTTGATACAGTGGTTTGGTCTTTTGTAGTGGTTTTAGAATGCAGAGAATAGCTTTCACTTCAACATACCTCATTCTCAAGCTCAGAGTATTCACTCACTCTCTCCACGGCTACAATATTAGTCTCCAGGTCTGAGGTCATCCTCACCAGCCAGTTGAGGGTCTGGGTTACCTGCAAAGCCCCAATAGGAGAGAGGAATGGGTTTTGTTGTTAGAATTATTATACCATATATCATTATTACGACTGTAGAGTGTGTGTATCAGTCACTGACATTAAGGGCGTAGGATATAGACATGCCAACCAGGCCACTGTTCAGAGACTTTCTGGAAATGACGGCAAACAGAGAAGCGAAAAACACAACCAGGTTTCCGAGGAACTCCAGACGGATAGCCAGCCATCTGCAGAGTGATCAAACACACACAAACAGGATTCATCATTAACAAACTGAAAACCCTATTAGAAAAAGAACACGCTCGGATGTGTTGATGATTTGTGTCTGACCTGTTTGACACTATCCATGGGTAGACACTCTTGAGATTTTCATCAATAGTTATTTCGTTGTGTTTTAGAAACCTTTCTTGATGGCCGTAGGCTCTTATCACTGACAAACCCGAAACCGTTTCACTAAAGTGTGAGTATATAGGAGAGCGAGACACTGAGTCCAGTCGACGCAGCTGTCTTGAAGACGCTACATAGAAGCGCTAGGGGTAGAGAGAGAGAGAGAGAGACAGACACGACAGTGGAGGGTTTCATTGGGTTCTATTTTAAAAAGCCACAAGCCTTTCTCTCATATTTTCACTGTTTGCATTCCTTTCTTAGTTTTTAAGAAACTAATATTTTTTTCCTTCAACCTCTTATAAGTACTTTACAAGTATTCAACTGTTTTGGCAAACTTACCTGTACAAAGTAGTAGACCAGGGCCAGAGGGATGATGATGATGGTGAAAAAAGGAGTGGCTAGACAAATGACAAACAGTGTCCCCAGTACGCCCAGCAGACACATGAGCCAGGAGCGGAGGGACTGTGGAATAGCTTCGTCCACTGTGAAAATGTCCTTTAGAAACAGTTATGGGAAAATTAGGAAAAGTGCTTTAAGAGAACGGATTAAAACAATCTAATCTTAATGGATCTCTGTTTTTCATTAATACCTGCAGACTCGGGATCCCTCTTAAGAATGCACTACATATCAGAACCTCAGAAAGCAAGAAAATTAGGAACAAATAGGAAATGTTAGTTATAAATCCTACCTTTGCAAATCGGTTGACCACCCTTCCAATGGGCGTAGTGTCAAAGAACACCATTGGAACTCGCAGTATGTTGTTAAGCAGCCTCGTATGCAGGATGCGAGATGCAGCGACAGAAGCATTGGCCATGAGCAGTGTACCAAGGAACACAAAGATGCCTGCCATAAAAGGAGAGAGTTTCTAAAATAAATAACTACACCTTCACCCAGTGAAATCCATTTTGCTCAAAAGTTTGCTGAAAAGTACAAACTTAAGACTCAAGTGCACTTTTCTCTAATTACAAAAAAAAAAATGTCCATTACTAGTCAGGAAAGTCATAAAAATAAATGCATGCTTTTATTACTTTCTCATCTTAAACTGAAAAGAATATAGGCCCCCACATTTAAGACCTTAAGTGCTCTTTACACTTCTGTATTCACCTGTAGGCTAATAAGTTACATATACTAAAATGAGCACCATGTCAGGAAAGATCCTGAGCTGATTAGCAATAATAGTTCCATCATAAAAATCCAAGAGGTGAATAAAGCGTGCTTTAGAGAGGATTTCAAGAACTACAGATAATTCTTAGCTTGGCTCACAACTTCTTTCTGTTGTCAGATAACTGTCAACAAAAAAGTACTTAGGCTAACAGCCAAGACAGAAAGGACGGTAAGCCAATTATGGCTTTGTGACATTCAATCATTCACATTCTTTATTCCCTCATCTGACAAGAGGATGGATAAAACCAAACCACATCTGCAGGCAAGCACACATGAGGTATTCAGGAGCAAAACCTGTTGGACCTTCAGTATTATTATTAGTAGTGATACTGTAGCAGTGGTAGTATATTTCTTCTTGACCAAAGATCCATCAGTTGCTATTAAATGTTAATTAATCCATTTGTTTAGTTGTGTATCTTCAATTATAATATATATATATATATATATATTGATCTTCAAAAAAGAAACTTCATCTTCAAAAAAGAAACAAAAAGACATTACAGTAAGATGCTGTTACAAATATTAACATGATTAAACATTCCCACACTGTAAAAAAAAAACAGATAATAAGAAACATCTACATGTACGGCTTGGCTCCAAAATCATGTACTGTCTAGAGGGATGTAGTCAAAGAGAGCACATTATATTTAAAAAGAAATCGACTGGACAGAAAATTGATTTAGTCTGCAAGGTCTCCAAAAAGTAGTTTGCGAAATAGCAGTTGGAGTGTGTATGTCAGAGCAACTGGTGCTATCATCACAATGAAACAAAGACAGCTGCAATATTACTATTACAATGCCTGTCAGCATGGGCGATTCAATCATGGCTTCAACATGAACCTAGAATCTTGGGGGAAAAGCACGGAAGTTCACCTCTAGTGACAAGCCTCAAAATTCGACAAAAGTAGGCTAGCTGTCAACAGTTTGAGAGGTTTTTGCTAACATGGCAGCAGCACCTCCTCACTTCAAGGTCTTCTATTCTGATGTTCCCTGAGGTTTAGTGCTATCATCTATTCTTTTGTCCTGTTCACTGTTAAATATGAAATCCTCTGCACTTCTACAAGACACCAGGTTCTGCTTTTTGCTAAACAATCTCTCAATGGTATGTCAATTACAGTCAATTGCTAAAAAACATAAGACAAATATAGGTCCTTAGCAAATGCTTTTTTCTTTCAAGGCGACTAGAATTAAAAAAATGTTTTGATGTAATTATAGAAAACATGCTTATTCGCTTTCTTGGTGTGAGTTAGATAAGAAGATTTATTCCACTCTCGATGTGTTAGGTAAAGTTATGTGGCATAAGCTGAGCTGATAACCTTCTGGCTCTATTTACGTAGCCAAACACTTGTTATTTATTCATCATTGTCTATTTCAAAGCTGTTCATACTGTTAATATTGTTATATTTAATATTGTATATATCGTATATCAAATCCACATACCTCAAGTACATAACACCTGCACATAATACTTATTACAGCATCCTTTGCACTATGCTCCATCGCAATGTGTACATGTATGCATATATGTGTATGTGCACCTGTATATCACATCCACCTCTGACATGTACATAATAATAATAGTAATAATAATTCACTCCTGCATCCTTTGCACTCTGCTCATTGCACTACTGTCTATATTGTTGTTGTCTTTGTTTACAGTGTGTATATATGTGTTCGCTATGTAGCCTGTGTTTGATTTTATCATTGTATTATTGTATAAGTAAGCACATCGTGAGCAATCTACAGTCAAATTCCTCTTATGTGTACACATACCTGGCAAATAAGGCTGATTCTGATTAAGCCAAAAAAAGTGAATAAATGTATTCACAAACTATTCTTTTAAAACAATATGTTAGACGACCATTTTCTGACATTTTATAGACAAAACAACTAATCGAGAAAATAAGCCATAAATTAATCAACAATGAAAGAAATCATTAGTTGCAGCCCTAATATCGATTTCTGTAAAACAACCATAAAAAAGGAGAGACCGGGTTTACTGTCACTATGAGAAATAAACTTAACTTCAGCTTTGAAGCTAACTGACATGATTCTGAAAATATCTGCTAAATAAAACAGATTATAATGAGTTTGGTTCAGTTACCCTGAGCCACTCCCAGAGCTCCAAACACTCCCACCCTGGTGTCCCTCTTCCAGTTAGGGTATGTTATGTTGTAGTACTCCACTGCATCATTGGTCCAGTCACTCAGCCACAGGTTCTGACCGATGAAAGCAATATTCTGCGTGAAGTAAAACAGGAAGACCATGGCAGCATATCCCCAGCCTATGGCACGCATGTACTGGATGTACACTGAAAACTTCACCTGAATAGAAAAGAAAAAAGGCTCAAGAAAATGTTCTAATTTTGTGTAATTTGTGTTGTAAATAAAAAAGGTATTTAGGCAGACCAAGAACTTAGATTACCTGTCCTGTTTCCATTGTTTCCTTCTCTATTAGCCTCTGGCCTTTCTTTGATTGATCAACATCTTCTAATTTTCGTATGGAACTAGTCTTTCTGAGTCTGACACTAGATAGAAAGACAAAAAAGATGACAGAAAGACAAAAAATACTTAGTGGGAGATTAAAATTTTGTTCTTGCATGCTATGCATGAAGACAAGGAATACTATATGAAACAGCATTTTGAATGTGTGTAATAGTGGTGACTTTCTCATGTGACCTACAAGAAGCCCAGCACCCCCACATAATCCTCACTCAAACACATTTCTCCATTTTGTCACCCACCACTTCACCTTGCTCTAACCTGCCCTTGCGTTGGCTGCGGCGGATGCTACTCTCTCTCTTCAGTGTGACAGAAACCGTATCCTCCAAAGGAGAGTCAGGTTGAGTGTCCTCTCTTTCAGGGATGAGCTCTACATCTGCAATGTCCTGGCAAAGATCTGTATGTGGTCACATATTATACATGGTGTCTTACAAATGTGGAAAACAGTACACTCACACAGTACATTTAGGAAATTGAGATAAATCATAACAAAAAGACACATTTCTTTATATAAATATGAAAAAGTGTCATTGCTGCGTATACATCTAAATAATTCCATACTGTGTATAGTTCATAATCACATTGTAACCCATATGCAGACATCAGCCACATTGATTGATTGTGCCACAACAGGTCAGTATTTGGTGCAGCTTCCATCCATAGTGCAAAAAAGGTGAAATTACCTGAATCTGAATGGGTCCGATTACTTTGTTCTTTGGCGTATGTGTCTAGAAATTCAGAAAAGGCTCCTTTGCTGGCACGAAGGCTGTTGTAAGTTCCAACCTCAGAAACCACTCCATCCACCAAGACCACTATTTCATCTACGTATGGCAGGAAACTTACTCCATGAGTCACCAATATACGAGTCTGTACAGATAACACTTGGTGTCAGCTGTGAAATCACAATTCACTTTAAGCAGTAAACAATTTTATTAGAATACCAGCATGTCTATGGAATAATTCAGATCCATTATATCACAATGTTATTAATCTCTTTTGATACCTATTTAAATATATTGTTGTTCCTTGAAGAAGTGAACCATTTAATACTTATCAATGCATTAATGTAGATTCAGCACAAACCCTGTCTTTGAGTAGTCCGTTGGGTCCAATCACTTTGTCAAAGAGATGCTTTCCTACATGAGAGTCCACAGCAGACAAGGGGTCATCTAATAGATAAATATCAGCCTGACTGTAAGCTGCCCGGGCCAAGCTCACACGTTGCTTCTGACCCCCTGAGAGGTTGATGCCCTGAAGACAGAGGTGAAGGAGAAAACTGCCAATATTAGATCTAAATGTTCATACTGAGATACGTCTATGTTCATGTATATTTTCAACCTTTCGTTTAGTACCAAAACTATATTTCTATGCAACAATATCACAACCTTTAGAAAAAATTTAATATTCCAAAAACCAAACATTATGTTCTTTGTCATGGATTTGTCTCTGCAAGTTGGTTTTATATTTGAAAAGACTGAAGATCAAAACAGTACAAAAACAATGTAATGCAAGTAAATCTGCTTTCGAGTGAATGGACTCAAGGATGCAAAAACAGTGGCAGTCGAGAACAGTTTGAACAATAACTAACATTGATTGTCTTTCAAAATAAGGGGCATTTCTTGCCACTTTTTTTTGTGTTTTGGGACCAACCTAGACAAATGTTCAATTATGATTATGTTCTCATTGACCATCCAGAGTGTGTTTACACAGCATGAGACACACACACACAACAACAGAACATATCATATTTAAATCCTTGAACCCTCAAATCTTTGAATCTTACTTTCTCCCCAATCTCAGTGAGGTCACCCCCAGGCAGTAGCTCCAGGTCAGGGGCCAGGGCGCAGGCCTGTATCACCTCCTGGAACCTCCTTTCCTCATGGGGAGAGCCGAACAGGATATTATCCCTCAAAGTGGCATTCTGGATCCAGGCTTGCTGTGGCACAAAGGCAAGGGAACCCTGGACAGAGAGAAATTACACAGAGTTTATTGTAACCACACCTTTGTACAGCCCCCTGCCTTGGAAGAGGGTATTCATACAGGTTTCCATTTAACTACTATGGTTTTTATAGAAACTGTTAGAAAGCCTTATTGGAATTCATTGGAAAACAGTTTGAACTCACAATGCTCCAGCAGCATTGACTTTTCTCAGTGAGTTAAAAAGGTTCAAGCTATTCCATGTTCCATATGGATCAACTGGTTCTTTGAGCACCTTTGTCCTGTAGACTTCTACACTGTATGCAGCAGTCTCTAAGGTGAACTTAACTGCTGTGCTGTTTATTTGCAGTAAAAACATTCTAGCACAAAACTTTCTCAAAAGATTGGTCAGTTGGATTTATGGAATGCAAGGGCTTGCAGTTCTAAGAAAAGAGCTCTTGAATCACTTTTTGTGCTCTGAAGTGAAAGAAATATTCCTTTATTACTGCTGTGGAACAACAACCTAACACATTATGTACTTGGCTAAACACTAACTATAGTTAGACAGATGTGAAGACAGAAATTAGGTGTCACCAGAATGTTGATAAAGCCTTTGATGCTGTGCATCTCTCCCAGGAGGGCTGACATGAGAGAGGACTTTCCTGAGCCCACAGCTCCCACTACTGCTACCAGTCGACCTGGCTTGATATCCAAGGACACACTGGCAAACATCAACAGAATACATATGTTCAGTATTGTAAAATAGGCACAAATACAATGTTTTTCATGATCAACAGTGCTCGTAGGGTAGCTGAACTCAAGGGATAAGACCGGAGGCAGAGCGGGTGCAGTTAAAAGATATGAACAATAGACATCACCACAAAACAGGAAATATAAAACAAAAACCCCAAACCATGACAGCATTGTGGCAAAATATCCAAATGTGTAAGTTATATATCAAACATACTTTTTCAGCAGAGGCTCAGCTTCTTTTTCCCAAGCAAAGGAACCATCACATATGCTAACAGCAGAGTCTAGATGGAAACAGATGGACAGAAAGGACAAATGTACTTTGCATGTACCAGCAAACAGATGAATAAGCTTCACTGCTCAGCAGTGGAACAGGTGTAAATGCTGATGGTGAACATACTGAAACTGGTGTCATGGCGCACAATGTCACTTTCAAGGTCTTCACCTCCCAGAAACTTCTCCAGGCGCTTCCTAGACACGGTCGTCTGAAGTGTCAAAAAACAAGGTTAGTGGGCTTTTAGTATAGGTTTGTCATGTGTGCATGTACTGTGTGTTGTAGTTCCCTTACTTGCACAATGGCAGCGATGAGCATGGGCAGCATGGCCAGGGGAAATCGGAGGATGTTGAAAAGAGAGATGGAAGTGAAAGCTTTCTCAGCAGTCAACACATTGCTCGGGCTCACCCCTACAAACACTGCAAATGTGGCCAGAGAAACCTGCAAAAACGAAATAAAAGACCATCCTTGACCTACTGCTTCTTATATGAAGCATATGCGAGTGCTTTCCTCTCTCACTGACATATGTATAATCCGATGTCTTCATCGGGCCACAGACATAATCGAGGACTCATCCCACTCATTCACTCTGTTGCCCTCGGGGAGACACTATTGGTCTATTAAAACCCGTACCTCCAGACTCCTAAACAGTTTCTTTTCACGTGCCAAAAAACTGAAGCAAACACTTACCAGAGCTGGAGCACAACTGAAGATGAAGGTGGAGACAGACGTCAGGTAGGCAAACTTCCTCATGACATGCAGTTCTTGGCCCCGAATGTCTTCCACCTGCGCCTGGAAGGATGGCTCCCATGCATACAGCTTCAGAATCTGGTGCAAGGCAAAAAATTAAGTGGAGGGAGGAGGGAGTAGAGGGCATTGTGTGAGACACGGAAAAGGAAGGGGTGGGGTATAGCATTCATACCTTTTATGTTAGTATAAATAAACCACAGGTGGTGGGTGCAGTTTAAAAGAAAGCACTGCAGGATTAAAATTTCAGCTTTTTCCTGAGACATAAAAGCCTTTCATCGGAGGAAGTCCTCACTTAGCCCCCCGAACTATTTTTACACAATAGTTGGTCACACCAATTAGGCTGTCTTTGACAGTGGACTATTAACTATGAAATAAATGAATAAGTGCACTCACCTTAATCCCGTTAAGTATTTCGTTCATGATTTTCAGCCTCTTGTCTTTAAACTTCATGTTCTCTATCTGAAAAAGAGACCATATAAATCAGCAAGGATGTAGCGCACTGTTAATTTTCAACAGAATATACAGGAAAAAAAACATCTGATGCGGACTGCATCAGATGGATCAGCTGCATCAGTTTTTTTTCCCTGTTTTCCTGTTTTTTTCCTGTTTTCCTCGAGGCTTCTCAGACTCTGTGGTTTCAGTAATTGTTTGTGTTGTTTAAATAGAGTCAAGAGTTGATAAAGCTTCACTCTTGATGCTGTTTCTTAAGGGGAGTTAAAATATACCAGAGCATTTCAGCACAAGTCCAATGGAATCTATAGAGACTGCTCATAATTCAAGGCCAAGTAGAGAATGATAACAGGAAAAAATGTTAACAAAGAATGGAATATGAGATGAACTGTCAGAGTGAAGCGCTCTAAACGCCCTGTGACCCTTCCAATATATCAGACGTAAAAAAAAAAGTATAATTTTTAAAAGCTTTATTTGACAATGACAGTAGAGAAGGGAAGGCAAGGGAGATAGAGAAGATGACATGCAGCAAAGGGCCCAGGCCGCTGCAGTGGATTTGGCCTTGATACATGGTGCATGTTCTACCAGGTGTGCTACCGTGCCACCACTAATATTACATTTTTTGTAGTGTTTTTATCTTTGCACTTTTTGAAGGAGACTGTACCGGGAGTTTGCTAACATTTCACTACCTTAACCTTTGTTCAATATGTCAGTCCTGGTGCATTGTGTTCCTATTTAATGCACCATATTTCTAATGTCACTGGTGTTTTAATTCAATATTACTTATAAGACATAAGTATTTTAGGCTGTAATTCACTTAAAACTAAAAATGGAAGTCTATTGCTCTGTACAGTGCACTATATTCTAAAGGCGTAACAACCATCCTGTATGTGTGTGCATTTCTGCTGACCTGGAAGTTCCGGGCCTTGGTGGCTAGCAGTCCATTGACTGGCACCATGAGCACCATGACTGCCAGTCCTGCCAGCACAGAAGGTCCTAACTCAAGCCACAGGAAAACAATGGACAGGATGATTTGCAGAGGGCAGGACCAAAGCAAGTGGATGAAGTTGGTCACATCATTGAAGCGCTGGGCATCTGCTGACATCAGGTTCACCGTTTCCCCAACTGTTGACTCTTTACGAGCCTCATTAGACACCACCAATGCCTTGAAAAAGGGATGAAGAAGGGATTGTAGGGAGAGATGGAGATGAGGAGGAAGTAAGGGGAGGACAATTTGGCGAGAGTTGCAATTATTCTAAATGATGAAAGATACAGAGACAACAAAAACCTAATTATTTTTCTTAAACTTCCTGCAAATGCGGCCGGCTCTTGGTGGCACAGCTATTATCTTTTATGAAAATTCTGGTTACCGTGTTGACCCTTAGAAGGAGATCTCAGGAAACTCAAGATGACTTACATTGCAGCATTGTTAATTAAAGCCTAGCCAGGGAGATCATAGCATTAGCATACAGTGTGTGAACACAATGCCTAGCCAACACCACAATCTGAAGAATCCATTTTGGTGCACAATATTTATCCCATACAAGGTCATTCTTAATTAGCCTAAATTTGTGGTAGTGATATTTCTTACAGGGCTTAATTAATGTAACAGGAAAAGGTAAGACAAGTTTCTCTCATGAACTTACAGGCTCCACAGATTAGAGTACAGCTCATGGATAGTAATAGATTCAAATGTAATGTAGCATTGGAGTCTAAACAATAGATAGATTTGTTGATGAATTGAAGATGACCTGAGAAAAATCCTACAGTCACTAGAGGGAAGAGAGAAACATAAGATTTTGGTGTTGGCATTTGATGTGTTCACATGTTGTGTGCTGGCACTGTATGCCCTCGGCCAGGCTCAAGAAACCATGCTATGTTAAGTCTCAATCAGTCTCGGAAACTCCTTCTTCACACAAGACCTGGCTCACAACAATTCTTCAACAGTCATCCTACTGGATGCCAGGATTAAAATGCTTTTCCTCTTACATTGGGAGCTTGAGGTCACACACATAATATTCTGAAGTGAGCTAGTCAGTCTGTCTGTACTGAAAATAAATAAAGATAATCTTGACCTTGGGTCAGTCAGTGAAACATCAGACAGAGAGAAGAGACAGAAGCTGTCACCTTTGGCTTACTTCAGCTCAGTAAATGATTCTAACCTGACCTGGGGAAACCAGTGTGATATTACCCTAATGAAGGAAAATCTCCCTCACTGCCTTTTTTAATTTAGCTTGTAGGATACAAGTGTGACTGAGACATTGAGCCCACGCAGAAAATGTTACTTTTTTCAGTGACAATTATGTCACTGAAAAAAATTATATCAGCCAAGTCTCTTGGGTGAGTGAGCAAATACTGCAAGCAGTAATTTATTTCTTTTGACATGAACTGGCAGGGTAAATGGTTTTCTTTTTTTAAACACAGTCTGACGTCAAGTTAGACAATTTAATTGTGATGTCACTCGTGTTTTTACCTTTTTGTACACGGCAGCCATGATGGCAGTGCGAACCTTCATCCCCAGCACAAAGCACCGCTGGAAGTACTGCTGCAGGAACAGAGACTGCAGAATGGCCACCACTAGCAGTAGCACTGCATACAGATACCCTTCCCAGGTATACCTGGATGTGTCCTGAGTGTAGGAGATCATCAACCTATGTAAAGAAAAAAAAACTTAATTAATGGGGCAGCTCAACCCTTGCAATTAAGTTATTTCCAGAATCTATTATTACCCTTTCCTTCATTTTGCGTCTTATTAACTTTTTTTCTTCCTTCACCATTTACCCTCCCTCATCAGACCCTGGTTATGAAGTTATGTTTAAACTAACAAATAAGTTGTGAATAGTTATTTGTTAAGGGGAACTCCACTGATTTTACATATCAAAGTCTGTTTACAGGTGTTGGGGAGTGGGCCTACTACTTCATATGTGAACAAAGAACATACAAACAAACCTGTGAATCTAATGAATTGCCTCAAATGATGTTGAGGCCAGGGCTGCAACTGAAAGTTATTATCATTCTCAATTAATCAATAAGTTGTTTATAAATTGACTTATAAAATATCAGAAAATGGTAAAACATTTGGATCAGTGTTTAAACTTAAAGATTCAGTTTGCGGTCATAGGGGAGGAATGAAAACAAAATATTTACATTAAATTATTTACATTGACTTTTGACTGTTTTTTAATTAAAAAATTACTCAGAGCAATTAATCAATTATCATAATCAAGATTAATTTAATATTTAACAACTGATGAAGTAATAGGAAGGTAAAACAATTAATTCAATCTTGTGCTCTGTGTTGAGGTGAGAAATGCTAATTTCTTATCCTGAATTCCATGTGGCTTTCTTCGCCACAGTTCAACATCCACCTGTGTATAATCGTGTTTACTGACCTTGAGTTAATGATTGTACTGAATACTGACAAAGTGAAGTAGTAAAAATAAACTTTGTTGACGTTGAGAGTGACTTATCAGGTTCAGGGTTTGTGTTCCGCTTAGCTGCTTAAGAGACAATTTTATTTGACTTTACTTAACTTCACTCACTTCAGGAGTTGAGGACTAGCAAAAGACAGCAGGTCCTGCAGAAGTTTGAAGAAGGCCGATTCAATCAGAATCCCTTTAAAGGTCTTGTAAATGGTGGTAATCATCCATGAATTGGGATATTCTTCCTCCTTCTTTTTCTCCTTCTTCTTTTCATCTTCTTTCTTTCCCTTTTCCCCCTGAAGAAAAATATTGTTTAAACATTGCCTTTAAGCAAAGATTGATATTCTCTATTTTTAACAAGAATAAATCTGGGGAACCTGACAGATAATCAATAGCACTACTTAAAATAAAATCAATTTGTAATGCAAGAAAATGTGTTGTACATGTACGTGTTAAGTATATTTCTCTGCACATTCTTACCATCATAAGCACATCCTGACTGACGCCTTTCCCCAGACCATTAGAAAGGCCATTTTGAAAGGGCTCTTCCTGGGCTTTGTCTCCCCTCTCAACACATTTCTTCTTCAACCTGTTTTGGAACCGGACCCGAGCTGCTCCCAAATCCGATTCCATGAAATGCTGGAAGCGTTGGTTGATGTAAGCAGTGCCATCTGCCTCACTTAGCTCCCACATGTCCTCCTGAACCAGGGGCTGCTTGTACCCCTTCAGCACCATACTGCAGAGGCATGGAAAGTTTGGAACATTGTGGCGAACATTAGTGGGCGTTTGCTGGGACTCTGTGGCAACTTTTAATTTACCTGTTAAACCAGTTGAAAGTGATTCTGCTCAAAAACGCTGCACCTGCCTCTGGATTCTGTGGATAAAAACAATGAAAGGCAAATAACACACAGATGGCTGAGGTGATGAAGGTTCAGAGTATTATATTTGTTTCATTATTATGAATTTTGCAGTATCAAAACAAAAATATATTTTTTAAAATGCCTCCCTCTGGGTGCTTAGGTACCTTTCTTACAAGCTCCTTGGCTTCCAGAGGGATGTCAGCCACAGCAGAGAGAATGAGAGCAATCAACTCCAGCCCAAAGGAAATGTAGAAAAGGCAGAAACGAGGGACATCAGTGATCTCTCCCTGATGGTCAAAAGATGAGTGTAAGAAAGATGATGCAGGAGATGGGTGAAGGAGATGCAACAGTCAATGGTGAATTGCTGATAAATAAAGAGCTTAAATCGGGGGTAATCGAGTAATGATTCCAGTTTTCTTCCAGCTTAATGCTTTGCTCCCAACTTGATCTAACGTCTCCTTGGCTCATACCAGCTTGAGTGCCTCTCGTAGGAAGGTCTGGAAAGGGAAGACGTCGCACAGAACAAGGAGCAACCAGAAGACGAAGAGGGTGGTGGAGTCTACTGCTCCCTCCCTCCGCCTCACTCCTTCTTGGCACAACAGCAGAAGGATCTAACAAAGAAGACATGTCAGTACATAGAAAACATGTCATCTTTACATGAGCACCAACATATAAATGTGAAACCTGCTATATTTACCCATGTGACAGTGTACAGGACAGGGTTTGCGTAGTATACAGCAGGATGTTTCACTGTTGAAGGTGGGTCTTTGCTTGGACCATAATCTTCTCCTAATGTGACTGCCAGGGCTGCTATGGCCGTCATGAGCAACATTGACACTACAAGCTGAGGGGAGAAAAGACAGACTGGTAAAAAAAAAATATTCACTCTTTGTTTATTTGCTGGTTCACTCTGCAGAATGATGTATGTGCAGAGTTTGACACTAGATGATTTGACACATGAGATGTTTTTGCATTCATCTGCTGAAGTGTACATGTACAAGATGATTTTATGACACCACATGGAGCTTAAGAGGCAGGTGGTCCAATTTTTATCTCTAAATAAACAAAAAACAAAATTAGCCTATTGAGACAGGAAATGAAATCACTTTATCTATGACCTCTTGGACCAAGATTTATTAATCATTGGTTACTTGTTTCTGGTATTTAGTATGTAGTAATTAAAATCAGCTCCCTCTTCTCCTCTCAGCATCACATTATGACTGGAACAGTGTGTCTACTTGTTTCTTTTTTTATTGCTGTGTGCATTACCTGTTTGCAGAGGTAGAGCTTAGACAGGTGTCCTGTATTCACCTGTGTCCTCCGGAAGAGAGACATCAGGTGTCGCGGTGCACAGAGCCACAGGAACCCCAAGGGGATCCAGACCAGCACCGTCTGCTCTACACATACTGGGAGGTCTGGGTCTTCTCTATTCAGATATGAAGCATTCTGAGGTGCGTACACACAAACACAGAATCTGTCATGCGAAGGATACCCTGTCACTGAATGTCAGAGCCCAACAAAAGGGCTGCCCTCCTAATCTCAGAAAGGCAGACACATGTCCCATCCATGTATGCCCGGCACTTGCTCTATTTTACACCGCAGGGAAACACCACACCTCCCCTGATTAGAAATGTTATCAACAGTGACTCACGTGTGATTAATTAAGTCCCTGCCTACAGCTGTAACAGCATGTTTAATGTGCACTTCCGGAGAAGAGAGCAATGGGGACTAACAGGAATGTAGAGTGAAAAGAGCTGAACACTGAAGGAGTTTAATGTGTTATAAGGACAAAATACCCTGACATAGTACAGAAGCTGTGGTGTTTGAAAGCTTTAAAATATATTTTAAAAGCTTTAATTAGCGTTTCAAGCACTTGCCATCTGCTGTGTCAGGTGTTTATTAACGTGAAGGTATTTTACTCAACTTTACTGCAATTATGTGTATGCTCATTAATTAATGAATGAACAGTTTAGTCTATAAAATGTCAAAAGAAGTTTTTAAAAAAGCCTGAAAAGGCCCAAGGTGGCATCTTCAAATGTATTTTGTCAAACCTAAATTGCAAAACCCAAAGATATTCAGTTTAATAATGAAAGATTACAGAGAAAAGCAGGTGTGTTGAATGTTTGAATGACTGACAAACGATTATCATCAAAACAGTTGCAGATAAATTCATCGTTTCAGCTCAAACAATTTGCCTCTCTTTGCCTTGTACGTTGAAGATGTAGATTTGTAGCTCCGCGCTGCAGTTGTCATACATGCTGAGTCATGTCTAACTTAACAGTCATTATTGGCCAATCACCTGACTGAGTTCACTGTGCACAGGGGTGAAAACATATAAAGTGCTTTCAGATAAAAGTTCAAAATAAAACATTGTTTGAACATGATATCCTTTTCACACAATATACTATTTTTATAACAATAATATAATAACCTTCATAGCTACAGCATATCGTTCATGACAACACATTGTGAGGGGCCGGCGCAATAACATGAAGCCTGTACAAAATATCACAAATATAGAACTACTGCAATAATAGTTTATGAAGAAACTTTTTTCATTGAGTGTCACTGAGGTTTATAATTTTAATCAACATGTCTCGAACACAGAAAAAACAGTACTTTAAATAAAAAAAAGGCTCAGAGGTATTGAATTGTATTACAATGTAAAGGTTTTCTTGCATCCATCTTCCATAATTCTCTCATTACATTTAAGTGAATTTAGTGACATGTTATTGATCACATGTATATGTGTGTGTGTTAAAGTTTACACATGATTCAGAGTTTTTCATCTTAAGAGTATACACTGTCAACTAATGCCACAATAAAGCCATTTCCCTCAACCCCACTTTGTCTCCCTTCAGCTACATTAACCCTGGCTTTTGAACTTACCCAGAAGATGGACCCACAGTACTCCTCCAGTGCTGCGGCACACATGGCCCACACCGATGGCTTCAGTCGACCTTAGATGACTGGATGGATGGATTAATTCTTAACTTGATTTCTTTCTTTTCAGGCAGAAAATCTTAAAGGTCGCCCTCCGCTGTAACAGCCAACTGTGACTCGATTGATGTCTACAAGAAGCACACACATGCAGTCCTCCTGATGTGTAAATGAGAAAACTCAATAAACGTTGTCAAAGTCATTCAAATCCAGCCTAACATCAGCCCACAGACACTCCTCAACACTCACGTGTGTCTAAAGTTCACCATTTCAGGCAGATGCCTTCATGTAAGAGGGAAAAAAAGTGAGAGCCGTTTTTCTTGGTGTTAGGGGGACAGCCCACCAAAAAAGGGAATGTGTTTAGGGAAGTGGAGGGTGTGGGCCATTAGACCCCTTTTCCTGTTGTTTTTCCACTTCTCTGCATGCTTTCACTCTTTCTAGACCAATTTTTCAGAACTCAAGTAACATCAGATTAGTTTCAGACGGTCCTTCATTCAAACGAGGTTGCTGCAGGTGCTGTAGTGTTATTTGGAAATCTTGCAGAATGTTTGTGAAAAATTAACTGGTGGGTATTCTGGGAGAGGGAAGGGCTGCTTAGCTTTTCCCCCCTCTCTGTCTGTTTCCTATTCTGATCAGCAGGAGGGCTCCACTACCAAAATACACAGTTCACATACACAAGAGATTCAAGTCAAAGAGACATGGAGTATAGATTTACTTTCCTTGTTTGTGTCCTCTAGAAATTCAAACAAAGGATAAGCTCACTCTAGTTGGAGTCCAAGAAAAAACAACTTGCTACTGTGCCATGCTGATGTTGGGCTATTTTTTTAAAGACTGCTCCAGAGGTAAATTACTACCAGACATACCAACACAAAGCACGGAAACAAAGAGGACTGCTGCTGGTGTGTTTGCGTGAGTCAGTCTGCATGGGAAGAGAGGGAAACACTTGATCAACGGCATTTTTTTGTTGAAGTTCTGATCAAACAACTAACAAAAACAGAGATCCCAGTGGCAAAGAGCAAACATTGTGATAAAACTTGATCAAATCGCAATAGATTAAAATGGATACTCAGCATGACCCAGGTAGACTTGTAGTGTAGTAATGTAATAATTTACGTTGCTACAAATATTATTATATAAGTAAAGTCAAAAAACAAACTACCACACACTGATCTGACTTTACTACCTTTATTGTGAGCAACACGTTTCGCCCATTGCTTCTTCAGGCTCACACAGTGAAATTACAAAAACACTTAAAGTGAGATCCCGGATAAGCGGATGAAGATGGATGGATCGATGCATGGTGTGCAAGACTCTGTGCAGGTCATGTGACCAGCACAATCAATTTTTTCCATGACACCTTTCTCATGTATATACATCTATAAAATCAGCATCTTATACAAAGTATTAGAATATAAACGGCAAGAATGTGATAATTATCCAAACAGATCAACAAACATCACAATATATATATATATTTTTAACATATGTAAGTCACAAGTATCTTAAGGCAAAATAGTCTGACGTTCCTACCTCTACCATATATCCCTAAAAGGGAGGGTAAGACATTCGGTATCTTAACTTTCTCTGAAGGAAAAACCCACCTCAGAGATAGACATAATAATCAACATCACAGGAATGGGCTCAAATCTAGTGTCTCATTCAGACCATGAGTTTCAATTGTGTTTAATTCATGAATCCAAAAAGCTTTCCTTCTCAAAAGTTGGTTAATCAAGTTAGCCCCTCTTGGATTAGCACTCTATAATATCTAGCAAAGGCATTATTATATATGTATTTAAGAATGTGTGTGAAAAGTCTTTCAATGACTGTGATGGCAGTTAAACAGATTACTCTGTCTGTGTGATGGTTAATCATTACATGTTTGATAACACCGCATGGCCACAAGCTGGCTGACACATTGTGTGTGTAGCCCCAAGGACAGCCATGTGACACATGAACACAACCCATACGTAATCAAAGTGCACTGTATCTGATTTAACTATGGTGCATAAAGGTGAGCATGATGTTCTTTGATAATTAGCCTGTACGTACGTCAGCTCAGTGTAGCGAGACAGTGTAGTGCAATTACTTAACACGGGCTGAGGCTGGGAGAAACTATGATGAGGGGGGTGACAAACACAGATGAAAGAGAGGCTAAGGTTGAGCAGAAAAATGTTGTCATTTTGTATTTGAAAAAATGGCAAAAATAAATATTTGCTGCTTGTAACGGACAACAACTGAGAGTAATTTAAAACTAGGGATGTGTATAAATATTTAACTGAAAACTGTTTCCTATCCAGTCTGAGGTGCAACATTAACATAGAAGAGGCAAAGGTCACTTTAAAGAAAAAAGCCAAACAAAAAAGGAAACACAGAGTGGCTATGGTTAGAGATGACATGGTTAATCGTGGATAGCTAACATAACAAAACAAGCCATTTGGATACACCATGTTGGGCTCTGAGAAATATGCCCTTTCATAGTTATAGCCAGAGATAATAAAATAAATAGGTGAGACAATTTGCCTACTCTCATACATAAAATATATATTGTAGGGTATACTGCGGTAACAAATACAAATGTCTGAGCTGGGCAATCTCTGCGCATAAATAAACTCAAATATTAAACATCCAACTCAACTATATCTGCTTGCTTCTGCTCTCTGAACACACACCAAAGGTGGATACATACCTTACAGAGACTCCACATTTTATAGTTATAGTTAAGTCAAACAGATTTATTACAAAAGTGAATATTTAGGTGTCTGTCACGTTCATTTAGAAGAGAATTAAATCAATGTATAAAACTGCGCTTCAACGTAATGAGACCAAGACAAATCATCCCATCAGGAACAGTTCATCAATCATATTGAACCACAATGCTGTCAGACATAAGACATGATAGAATTATATGCTATTACAGCTGACCCCGGCCTTTTCTAAAAAGTAGGTTTATTGAAGTAACTGGATAGCGTAAAGCTCCAGTTTTGAAGGGGTTCTGGGGTCATCCAGATGACTCAGCAAACCTGCTTACTGAAACAGTGTCTTATGCTGAAAGTTAACCTGTTACTGCCCCCCCAGACAAGGTGAATCGACCTTTGTAGTTGATTGAGTAGTTGTAAACACATGAGGATCAAATCAGGGTATAAAACCGTTTACACTGATGTGACATAATCTCATGCCATGACAGTGACCCATTGACTGTCTATTGATCTGCTCCTTCACTTAATGACATCACAGGTTCACCGACTCGCTCACATTTGTCACTTGGGTACAGCCAGAATGCTGCTTGTGAGGTCAGTTTTCACTGTAAGATTTAAATCACCATTTTAAAGACCAGATTCATTCAGCCTGGTTAGAAATCAGTGAACATGAAGATAGTCACATGACTCTCTAACCTCTTAAACTTCATTAACAACAATTAAAACTAGAGTAAATGAAGCCTGGCTCTGCATTAGTACGGCCAATTTCTTACATGAAAAATTACAAGAGATTGGTTTTAATTGTAAGAGACATTGGACAACCATGAAGGAAAAGTACACTGAATTGTTGAATTGATTTCAGACTTTAATTAAATTCTGAGCAAACAAATAAGTCACAGAGTTTCTGTCCTTGAAAAAAAATAGAGTATTTTCCAATGTAAAAAGGGAGTGCTGTAAATAAATACAGGTCAACTCTATGGCAACTGGAAAACATACTGTTATTTAAATTTTTAATTTCATTTTGCAATCTAGTGTGTTTTATTACACCACTTCTGAGGTCACATACAGGTATGCAGACAGACTGCATTTTCCAGTCCACAAACTTGCAGGGCTTTGTCCCTGAGCTCTAACTTTACAAAGACTGTTTTATCAGTGATTTAAAAAATGAGAAAAACAGCACTCTGTGGCAATTCTGAAATATCTACTTATTGTGAGGTTCAGTGAAAATAAATGATGACATATTCATATGATTAATCAGGATCACATTTGAAGTCTCTGTTTTGCAGTCGGTCATGATTAGCCAGTACCCATTCACAAGGTATTTTTGGCTATTGCATTAAGAGTGCGGACTTTGCTCACATCTGCCACCTTCAGGCCGTACTCAGGTGCCGAGAAAGTAGCTCCCATTGTCACACAGGTGTTTCTGCGCACGGAAACATTGTCAGACACACAGCAAAAAATAAAAATGCTTTATTGTTTAATTCCTTATAGTGGCAGGACATTTTGTAATGTATGCAATCATGGGATCCCACCTCTCAGCTTTTAAATGAATTGAGCCTGGATTTAAACAAACCTGAATTTCATGGCTGAATCCTTGGTGGAGCGAGCTGAGCAGTGGAACTCTTGAGCGCCCGAACCCTCTAAAATTCTCTGCAGGTTCCTCTCTGTAATACCCCCTCCTGTATTAAAAAAATGCTAAATAAAGAGAAAAATAAATATAAACCGCATACAAGAGAAAAGTTAAAGTACTAACCTGGCAAGATGGTTATTCTCCCTTTAGCCTGTTGAGTGGAAGAAAAGGTGGAGAGTGTGGTGAAACGGGAGAGACACATGCCATTTACCTAGCACAGATAAATAACTGTGCCATTTTCATCTGCCTGAATGGAAATATGTATGCACACATATAGTTTATACATACTTGATCAATGAGCCGTTTAATGACAGGGAGTCCCTCTAATGCAGAGGTGTCACAGCCACTTGTCAACACACGTTGGAACCCTAATGATAGCAGTGTCTCCAGAGCAACCGCTGGGTCATGAACCATGTCAAAAGCTGCAGCAGGATCAATATCAGTTTAATAACATGACTTGAGACTCAATATTACTTCCTGCACCTTTTAGGTGCCACGCTTGGAATTACTGATGGAAACCCTCGAAAAGGGCTTCTATTCCATTGAGTCTTCCTGATATTTTCCCAAGTCTAATTGCTGGAAGCTGCAAATATTTTTAAAAGCTTCAAGTCACGTGATTTAAAATGAAAACTTTACCTCGGTGGAAGGTGACAGGCAAAGGTCGAGCAGCAGCTGGAGAGGAAAAAGCGACATTCAGAAAAATTAAAATGGAACTATACAAAACCTCAAACACAACACGCCACTTGCAAAGTTGCATTATAAAAAAGTTGCACATTCCGAACACATGAGCCTACACGCTCAATGCCGTACTGCTGTGCAGTTTCATTGAATTTGCTTTAGTTTATACTGCCAACACAAACTATGCTTTGAATCAGGGGGTGAGTAAAACTCACAGTTTCTTACAGCATAAATAACCAGCTGTAATGAAATGTAAGAACCTTTTCTGTGACTACATTATGTGATTTTTAAGCACCACTGGAAAGGGCACAATTTTATTGTATTCATGGTAATATAATGACAATAAAGGCTTCTATTGTATTCTTTTCTATTCTATCTTTCAGATTTCAGGAATATTTTACTGGACTGATTTCTCCTCACAAACACTGTGCACCAAGACTCCTACGTTAGACTTAGGGATAAACAATGCTACATATATTAGGCATTATTGACAGCTTTTAAATCCTTAAATGTTGCATGTTCTGATATTTGAAACTCTTATGTCAAAAGATAAAATGTTTATAGTACATTTAAAACACTTTTTTGTACACTTCAGAAAGCAATGTGAACAACAGATCAACCATCTAATTAAGTTTGGACCTATAGTTTTAAAGTACATCAGATCTTATAAATGTGTTGGCTTTGTTTGCAGTGTCAGACAGTAACTAAGTACATTTACTCAGGTACTGTACTTAAGTAAAAATTAGAGGGATTTGCACTTTACTTGGAGTATTTTCTTTTCTTGCCACTTTCTACTTCTACTCCACTACATTTACCTGACAGCTTCAGTTACTACTTACTTTACAAAGTAAGATTTTTACACACAAAACATATGAAAAGTTTAAAAAAGATGATGTTTTTTTTTTATAAATTAAAGTACCCAACAGTTTATACAAGTACAGCTAGTACATTTACGCACACGTTGATTGACATTATTTATTTGACAACTATTATGCTAACTGTAATATTTCATGTAGAAAAAAATGAATGGTTAAGCTTCACAAATGGGAAGAATTACTGCTTTTTAATAATTTTGAGGTTGGGACAAAACAGTAGCAGTGTGATACAAAATTGTTCAACCCAAACCAACTACAACAGTAATATCCTGCTTTTACATGAATGGATGAGTAATAATAATCTACCGGTATTATATATAATAGTTTAACAGTCACAGGGGACATTTTTCATCCTGTATTGTGTACTTTTACTTTTAATACTTTGAGTAAATATTCCTGATTGTACTTACATATTTTTACTTAAGTAATATTTTCAATGCAGTAATTTTACTTGCAACAGTATTTTTACGGTGAGGTATTAGTACTTTTACTTAAGTAAAGGATCTGAATACTTCATCCACCATTGGTTGTTTTTGTTACATGCCTTGTAAGCCCATACAGATAAGATCAAATATACAGGCAGACATTACCCAGTAGCTCCATACAGAGCTCTGTGTCCACCCGTCCATCCTCTGTCAGGGCTCCCAGCACAAGTCCATCAGCGCCGTGACTCTTCATCTGCTCTATGTCTTTCCTCATCACCTCCACTTCCTGGTCTGAGTACAGGAAGTCCCCCCCGCGTGGCCGTATCATCACATAGACTGGAATTTTGACATACTGCTTCACTACCTGCAGTAGACCTGTGGAAAAGTAAATAATGGTGGCATATGTGATTCTGCGTGCTTGTGTGGTCTTAGCAGACACTCAAGACCTTAGGGCTGTGCATGAATATCTGTAAAGAAATGAACTGTGCTCACCTAGACTGGGAGTGAGTCCTCCCTCCAGAAGACTAGAACACAGTTCAAGTCGGCCTGCACCTGTCCGGAGACACAAATGTTCATACTGCACCTAATTGTACCTTCATGGTCCATACCTTTATTGACCTTTGAGAAATGAAATAACGACTGCATGTGCACTGATCACACACTAAGATCTGTCTGAGACGGAGCTTAAACAGGTCTGATTGACTGAAACCTTATCTCTTTACTTTCAAGTATGACAGTATAGCAATAGCAAATAGGCCATGGTGGGTTTAACAGAAAAAGCTCAACAGTGTTCACTACACATGACCAACCTCCTCGTTCAGCATTGACAGCAGACTCCACGGAGTCCACACACACCTCCATTAAAAAGCCTTCTGCCATACTGACAGTCTGGAATGGGAGAAAGACAAACAGGGACAGAAAAAGACAAAGTTTGAATTTGTTAACACGTCCACAATCCTTCGACTAACAATGGTAATTTCCACAACAACTACCTGTCAAATCCACTTCCTATCGATTCATAGACCTTATCTGTTGATTGGTAGCGACATGAATTCAGTACATGTTGTCTGAGTGCCTGACCACAACTCATAAGTTATACACCCAGCCACACCAGTGGATCAGCGTTTTCCGGATAGTTGAATTTCGAACACATGGTTTGGCCGGTGGACGGTGCTACAAAGTTAATGGTCCACAGGGAGTGGGGTGACCGCTCATGCAGGATACGCTAAGACATAAAACATGCACAACCACCTGGACGCCCCGTTTCTGCACAGTGGAATTTAAAAAAAGAATAAATCATCTTGTTATTTGTCGTGTTTGTTGGATATATATTATATTGTGTTTCTCGTCTAACGAAGAAAAAATAAAATCTTAATTTGCTCGTCGATTTGTTGTGACGTCATGAGGTCAAAGTTGAACTGTTAGTTAAGAAACATGGTGGGCGTGTAACATCCTTTACCTAAGCTTCATCTTTCAACGTTACATCATCTGCAGGACCATCTCGGTGCTGAAGGACATTAGGGCACAAAGATGTTACTCTCTTCAGTACGGACAACGTTTTTTTGCGGTTGCAGAAATGCCGGCAAGGGACTAACGTTACGACACAATAGTGTGAGTATAAAAGCTAGCTGCTAGCATTAGCTAACTAGCATTAGATAAGCATGAAAAAGGTCACACACTGCACAGCAAGCTGAAGCAACATAATTACGACACGATTTTACGACAATTTGTTGTTTTCGCGTTTATGTACGTTAGTTAAGTGCAGGTATCTTTACCTGGCTGGTTGTAACGTTACTTGCTAGCAGTCACGTCCGCGCATGTGTCACTTAACCCAACAGTTTTTTTAAAACTCAGCGACCTCCCATCATGCTGATCTGTTAACTGTCAAATCAACGTTAAAGCTGGAAAAATGAATGGAACCTATGAAAGAACCGATATTGTGAATGTCTTAATAACCTAAATGTGCCCATATTGCGTTTTCCAGTAACGTTAACTAAATTCCCCCAACAACCATCCAAACAACCAACCAGTCAGCCTGCAGTCCTTATGTCTAGACTCCTGGATCTCTTAACTTGTCATCAGTATAAAGTCAACATGTTGGTTAATCATGTGTTACATGGCCAAAACTATGGGAACATCCGCAATATTACTCCTGTATGTGATTTGTTATTTCCTTCTATACAATGGACATCAATAGGCTGCTATAAGACTCTCCATTCTTCGGGGTAAACTTTCGACAAGCTTTTGAAACCTGGCCCCTGATGTTGTGTCAAATGGCCTGGCCCCTAATCTGAGTTGTAGTTCATCCCAGAGATGTTTGATGGTGTTGAGGTCAGGGCTCTGTGCAGGCCAGTCATGGTCTTCCACACAAGACTGGGAAAACTATTTCTTTATGGACTTGGCTTTGTGTACGGGGGCTTTTGTCATGTGTCATGAAACAGAAAAGGGTCTTGACCAAACTGTTATGACAAGACTGAAAGTACAGTTTTTGTTTACAATATAATTGTATGCTGTAGGATTAAGATTTCTTCTTCTTTTTTGTCAGCAAGATAAACATGGCAGTTTTAGGTACATAAATTTAGAAGTTATGTGGTCCAGTGTTGTTTTATTTTTATTTTCCATCTCTCCTTTTATTTACGACCTCAGAAGAGTCCACAGCTACGGCAATGGCTTGTGAAGAGAGGTCAGAGCACAGTCACAGCTGAGGCAGGGGCCTCCTCTGCCCCAGCAGCATCTATCGTCCCCAACGCAGCCACAAATCGCATAGTGGGTCGCTGGTTACTCGGCTGCAGTGGGCTGGTGGTTGGAGCTGTTGTCTTGGGTGGTGTCACAAGGTAAATGTGTTGATACTGTGTATATAAAAGGCATCCTTGTATTGAAGTGCTGCTGATAGGTGCTTACTGTGTATGTTCATTTGTTTTAATCAGGCTAACAGAATCTGGGCTTTCCATGGTTGACTGGCATCTGGTGAGAGAGATGAAGCCACCTCAGTCACAGGCAGAGTGGGAGGCTGAGTTTTCCAAGTACCAGCAGTTTCCTGAATTCAAAATGTAAGGCCCAGTCTTAGAAGACACACATTTGTACAGTTTTAAAGGCAAGTTTGTAGCCTGCTGTCATTTTCCAAATTGATAAACATCTTTTAATTCACAGACTAATGCTTGACAACAACTCAAGTTAAATCTGTAATGTTAAAAAAAATAAAAAATCAGCAGTGGTTCTAAACTAGGGGTGTGCCAAAAAATCAACACAGCAATATATCGTTATACATTTTTCTATGATACTGTATCAATATTTCAGCCCATCATATCGATACATAAAATGTATAAAAATTAGCGATTTGACGGTTAGCTCAATATTAACATATAACGGGAATCTCCATTAAAATGCTAATGGACATTAGACTCGCGACAATATAATCTTAACATAAACTACACATTTTGCTTCACATGCTGAACATCCTGAGCGACATACTGTGTAATACTAAATATAATACTAATACAAATACTAAAAGTGCATATGTTTCCTGAGCTCTGTGTGAAATAAACGAGCTGCTAACTTCACTGACTTGATCTGCTTCAGCACTCCTCACTGACTAGCTACAGCAACACCAAACGGTCAGAACTCAAACCCAAAATTCCCAGTGGCCTAAAAATACAGCTGTCACTAGGTGGAGAAAGGGCAGTGCAATCTTGTGTCACTGAACAGTTGTCAATATAATGTGATGTACATATTAGGCTTAGATGGTACACAGCAATTTGTATTTTCAGCAAAAAATTCAGTGAATTTTATGTGCCTTTTTTATAAAGAAAGGTTTATTATATTAAAATTTCATAGTTTCTCAAGTTCTGTAATTTTAATTTACAGACTGAAAAACATGTGCTGCAGAATTGTACTACAGTATATCTAACAGTTTGGATTTGCAGCAAATGGAGAACTTTTTTACAGGCATTTTGGATTCATAGTTAGACAGGTATCGTGATGTATCATTTTAGGATTGTCTATCGATAGATCGATTATCGCAGAATTGCTGAATTGTGATATTATCATGAGCCATGCATCGTGTATCGTATCAAATAGTGAGGTACCCTGCGATTCCCATCCCTATTCTAATCATGGAAAAACAGGCCTATATTTTCATTTAATTAGCTTTCACAAAGAAGAAATTGAATATATCTCAGTGTTTTGTAGTAAACAAAATAATGAGTTGGGTATTTATGTCAAAATTTACTATCCGTTGTCATTGTGTTTTCCCAGAATGAACCATGACATGACTCTGCCAGAGTTTAAGTTTATCTTCTACATGGAGTGGGGTCATCGCATGTGGGGTAGGCTTGTAGGACTTGCATACATCCTCCCCACCATTTACTTCTGGAGGAAAGGATACTTGACTCGCTCCATGAAGGGGAAAGTGCTGGGGCTTTGTGGATTTGTCTTCTTCCAGGTAAGACTAAATACAGCTGTGGTGATGGGAGAGGATCTTAGGGAAGTTGTCAAAAATGTGTGTGTGTGTGTGTGTGTATCCTCTCAGGGCCTTCTGGGGTGGTACATGGTAAAAAGTGGTCTGGAGGAGAAGCCTGAGTCTTATGACATCCCACGGGTCAGCCAGTATCGTCTGAGTGCTCACCTTGGTTCTGCCTTGTTGCTCTATTGTGCCAGTCTCTGGACAGGACTTACTCTGCTGATGCCTGCACATAAGGTACAGAGACAGTCTCTTGCCTACAAGCTAAACACCTATTATTATAGTTTTTTTTCTACATCTAAATACAGGTTTAACCTGGGTCTCTGTTAGCAAATGTCCCACAGTTTGCAAGTAGATATTTTTTTATTCATGACAGCACCTCCTTCATAGGTGGCAGAAACCAAACGTCTCATGCAGCTCAGGAGGTTTGCCAAGGGTACTGGTGGACTTGTCTTCCTTACTGCTCTTTCAGGTACTGTTTGTTCTTGTGTGAATGTAATGGCATAAACCTAAATATGTGACTGCATTTCTCTAGAATTATCTATGTAGTAATGGCAGTGCTCTCAGAGTCAAGTGTCTGTGGGGATGCAAAAAGATCCTTTGGCTTCCGGTTTCATACCTGAAGCTAAGGTAGTACAGTGCAATCTACTGTAGAGCATAATGTGGACAGTCAAGGGGGTATAAAAACTGCAGAATTTAAGTAACAATTTTACAAATGCTTTTACACAGGTGCTTTTGTTGCCGGTTTGGATGCTGGGCTGGTGTATAACTCCTTCCCTAAGATGGGAGAACGATGGATTCCTGATGATCTGCTGGCTTTCTCTCCTGCTGTGAAGAACTTCTTTGAAAATCCTACAACTGTGCAGTTTGACCACAGGATATTGGTATGTTATTATTTCTAAACAGAAATAATCACTAAAGTGCTGTTTTTAATAATATAATAACTACTATATAATAATAATAATAACTCAAAATGTCATAATTATAATGTAAAATTGTGTACATTTGAATTAGGTTGTTGAAGGTCTTCTGTATTTTTTTTTTCTCTCTAGGGAATCTCTTCTTTGACCGCAGTTACAGGCCTCTATCTGTTCTCACGGAGGATGGTGCTGCCCAGGAGGGCTAAGATTGCCATCAGCCTCCTCACAGCAATGGCCTATGGACAGGTAGGCTGAGAATCAGCCCAGAAACATGGGAACTCAGTCTATTACTCTTCAGTGTAACTAAACTCTGTGCGTTTGTGCTCTTCAGGTTGCCCTCGGTATCAGCACCCTGTTAATGTATGTCCCCACTCCACTGGCAGCAGTTCACCAGTCTGGCTCTGTTGCTCTTCTCTCCCTGGCCATTTGGGTTCTGGCAGAGCTCCGCAAGATGCCCAAGTAAATGCCTGCTCCTTTTGCGGACAAATCCAATCCCTTCTAGCCACACTACAAGCTTCTAAGAGTCAGCAGTGTTGTACACGAGGCATCCAGAGAAAACTGAGAAATGTTTTTCATTTTATACTAGACTTTTAAACATATGCAGAAGCATCTGTTCTGTGCTGCTGCAAAGTAATTGTCACATGGTGACATTCAATTATTTCATCCCACAGTTGTTAAAGCAGGGGTGTTATTTGAGTGTTGTTGAAACAAATTGCAAGATACATCAGGGCTGTCGATGCGGAATTGACTAAACCATTTGTGGATGCATGTTGCCATCAGAAGGCAACAACTTAGTGTGAAGTGTTTTGTTTAGCAAGGAATTAAACAAAGACATGCACAAGCAAAAACGAGCAGTTTTTCACTTTCTATTGAGCTTCAGTGACACAGCAATATGGTTCCCAGTGAAGGGTACATATTTGGTTTTCAGCCTGCCAGAAGTCTGCAGGGTATAATCTTAAGTAGACTGAAGTGCTGTTTTTCATGTACACAGTTTTAAAAGGATGTTTGGAACGAACAGTTTGTTACAGATCGGTTGCTCACCTGTTGCCTTGTGTCTGGCCATACTGCCTTTTAGTTGAATCAGATGTGGCTATTGGGAATATATGTATGATTATGTATATTTAAGTTATGAACTGTTTCCTGTTGACATTGTGATAATGCATTATAAGATTAAAAAAAAATTGTGATAGTCTTTAGCAATGAGACAATTATGTACAGTCTTTTTTTTTTTTTTTTTAATTCAAACTCCAGTCCATTTTGCATAGTAACTGTGATTTTTATTGTCTCTGTACAAAATATACACTTTCAATACATAATGCAACCAGTTGAGGCTAGCTAACTAGACAGTCAGTACACCGGGTTAGTAGGTTTTCATTGTTCTAGACACAGTACATGCGGGTATAGACAGGTTTTACTTGTGGTCAGGAATGGAAGTTAAAAACTGTTGGCAAGGAACAATCAGAGCCAAACCACTTTTTCCCCCAGAAAAGTAAAAGAACAGGAAAAAATATAATTGCAGGGTTAGATGTGCATATTTTCATCAGGGCCCTAGGACACCGTAATACTGTGCTCTGAGAGGAATGAGAGGTCGGATGAGTGCAAAGGTGCTGATACGTGGTAGAGAACATTATTGCTTTTCCGTGTTTATTCTCTCTGCATTTAAATGACACTACAGCCTATTTAATCACAGGCTTGAGTGCCTCTTCAACTTACACCAACTTAGATTTAAGAGTAGTTCTAGTTTGAAAAGAAGGAAATTAATACGTGGTTGCAAATTCTCCCAAAATAATTAATTCATCAGAGTGCAACAAGTGGGTTTATAACCTAAAGCTACACTTCTGTTTGGACAGCACACCATGGTGCCGGTTTACAAAATGACATCCTTTTATCTCTGATTGCCCCTTGCCCTACTTACTACACAGCATCCCCCTCTCTCTTCACCCACGGGTGGGCTTTATGTCTTAATTTAGAGTGGCTTTCTATACCTCTTAAATGTATCTTCTCTTTGGTGTTACAGAGAGAGGGAGAATACGGAATGGGGGGCATAAAAAATTAATATCGAACCATGTCTCACTAACAGTGTACACACACACACACACTATGCCTCTTTGAAATTGAATGAGCCTAATTTAATGCAACTAGGGTTTTGAGATTTTCTTTGAAGTGGCAGAACCTGCTACAACCACGTGACATTTCCGATTACAAGAAGTTCACAAATACAGTCTGCAAACTAATAAATTCCCCTTGAATGTATATTGATAGACAAGTACGACTGTGGTATGCCATCCCTGTGTTGAGAGAAGCTGGGATGGGATGGAGCTTGTCAAACACTGTGCAATCCCCACGTACTGCCTACTACCACGCCACTGGGAATGCAAGAAAATATACAACAGTTAATAGACACCTACAGCTAGGACTGTAATAGTTTGGAAGGCCGGAAATTATTCTACCAGAATCTCATGAATGGAGGTGGGTATTGTCCCATTAGAGTAAGATGGGTGACATCTCTTTCTGTTACACATGCGCACACACATACACAAAGGGTGAGGCACCTGTGAATGACTAGGAACAGCAGACAGACAAGCAGACTTTGGAGTATCTCTGTAAATACATAATTGGATATTAGTGACATCATCATGCGATACTGAAATCAGTTCCTCATGGAAAACAACACTTGAACCCCCATGAAACAAGAACGCTTGGATCTCCAATTCATCAGTTGTTTCCTCAGGAAGTGTCTTTCTCTCTCTCCTCCACTAGATGGCAGCAGACTCATTTCTCTTTATAGCCGGGGCATGAGGGGTAAATACGGCTAGCGGCTCCAGGGAGGTGTCACCCACATGCACAGAGGCAGGATCAGATTCACAAATCCAAATCACAGGGAAAAGGGGAAAAGTGTTAGATCAAGGTTCGGGAGCAACTTCCTCCCTCTGAGTTCAGCCATTACAGGCTGATATAGTTCCTTCATCTGTAACTTCATAAATAAAAGTTAAAATAAAACAGTTGAGGGGTCTTGGGTGTGCCAGTGCCTGTGAGTCCACTGCTTTCCTTCTTTCTCTGTGTTTCTGGTGTGAAACGAAGGTTCTGCATGATGAGGAAGGGAGTTGGGAAAACTCCATTGTTGCTTGGGGTCCAGGAAGAGGGCTTCTCGGTGCCCTCAGGACTCCCAGCTCTCAACAGACACACAAACACAAGCTTGCAAGTCAGAGGACGGCGCCACACACACACACACACACACACACTTACATTTGCAATCACTTTCTCTCTTTTCAATTCCAATTCCAATTCCTCTTACACACACACACACACCTCTCCCTGGTGCCAGCATCCTCTCTGGTCCAGATTCTTAGATGACGTTGTCAAACAGCTGCATGGACTGCATGATGTTCTCGTCCTAGACATGGACAAGAGGTTTGGGTAAGGAGTATTACCTAAATGATTCACACTAGGGAAAGTGAGGGTTAAAGGTATAGGCTGACATTTTGCATTATTTTCTTTCTTGCTGAGCTTTAGGTGAGAAAATTGATATGAAGCTTGAGCCGGGAGACACTTAGCATAAAGAGCGGGAAACAGGTAGCCTGGCTTTGTCCAAAGTAAAAAGATCCAGCTACCAGCACCTCTAAACCGGACCAATTAACATGTTATATCTTATTTGCTTTGTCTGTGCACAAACAGAAATGCAAAATGATGAGTCTCCGTTAATTCTTCCAGGAGGAAGGATTTTTGAACTTTGGAAAGAGCAAGGTTTGCTATGTCCCCCGACTTTCAGTCTTTATGTAAAGCTAAGCTGATCGGCTTCTGCCTCTAGCTGCACACTTAGTGCACAGACATGAGTGTATTCATCTACCTCTTGGCAAGAATGCAAATAAGTATATTTAGTATTTCTTTAGGATTTGAAAGTCCGCTTTTCCTTTTTTCCCACCTTTTTGCATGACTCGATGAACTCCTCTATAGTGACCACCCCATCTTTATTCCGGTCCATTTTCTAAAAGAAAAGAAATGGCAGCCAAAGATTTACTCACTAAAGAAGTATTGTACTGAATTAATTTTGTACATTATCTTCTTTTACAGAATATATTTGTGTGGGGTTATAATTTTGTTCAATGTAGAAAATAAAGACTGTTGAGTTTGACCTGGAAGAAGCTCTCCACATGTTCTCTTGGAGCATCGTCCTGCATATTGGGGTATGTGTACTTCCCCATCATGTCATAGATGGACTTCATGATGTCCAACATCTCCTGGAAAGTGAATGACAAAAGGGAGAACATTTTATTATAGAATGTAGAAATGTTGGAAAGTACATAGGTCATGACTCCTAGAAGCCTACATACAAGATTTTAGGATAATTTGATTTTATTGTATTTTTTGTCCTTGTTTCATTAAAAAAATGACTAGTGTACGTTTTGTTAGAGTGTGACTATTTTCTTTCAGTTACACCCAAAAATAACTTATATCCTGGTTATATAAATATATACTGTATGTTTGACATAGTTGACATAGTAAAGTTGATGAAGCCAGTGATCAATAACTTTCAGCCAATTCCCGCACTCGATTTCCTCCTAAATTGAAATTTATACATAATAGTAGGTTGCCAAAACCCTTAACATCCCTATACATACCAAGGACATGGCGCTAAAGTCCTCACTGGTAGCTACGGCCCTGCTTAGAAGCCATTAAAGCAGGTAATTCAGAGCAACCAAAGAACAGTGTGACCAGTGTGACATGGGTGTGTGTTACCTCTTTGGTGATGCAACCGTCCTTGTTCAGGTCATAGAGGTTGAACGCCCAGTTTAACCGGTCATTAATGGTCCCTCTCAGGATAATAGACAGGCCAAATACAAAGTCCTGGGATAGAAGGGGAACAGTTAACTGTATTGTTTTGGCATTACTTGAATCTTGACACAGTAAATTAAGTCAAATCTTTCTCACAGCACTTAACTCTGTGGGCAGGTATGTAGAGGGAATACACATCTTTGTGGATACAGCTGTGGTGGCAAGTTTCACTTGGAGCACATATTTTTCTTTTATCTCTTAAAAGGAAGCCGATATAAGAATAGAGCTCACCTCAAAACTAACTGAGCCGTTCTTGTTAGTGTCGAAGGCTTCAAACAGGAAATGTGCATACATACTTGAATCTGCAAAGGTAGAGACTTACAGTAACCCGTGTGCCCCCGAAACATGAGGCAAAGTCTTTGAACAGCTAGGATTAGCAGCGGGCTAAATATAGCCTAGATATAAGAATAATTTCAAATACAACTGGAGGCGAGTGGTTAACATTTCATCAACCTAAATATCATGAAATGAAAAATGGCCTCACCCTTTTGCAGTGCAAGAACTATAGTTCAGCAGAGCAAATTTATAATGAGTTAATTAGTTCATTTCATTGTGATGATGAAAAGCATGTGTACCTCTACAGAATCAGATGAATGATGTTATTTATACTAGAAAAAAACGGTGTAAATTAAAGTATTATGGACACAGCTTTTCAGCTTTAGTGGTAGAAGTTGGCAACTCACCTCCCTGCGGGAAGAACTGGGAGTAAATGGTCTTAAAGTTCTCCTCATTCACCACACCACTTGGACACTCCTGGGATACAAATGTGAGAAAACTCATTAGTTCCCACCTTGCACAGAATATATAAAGCACTACTATGTAACGTCAGCTCTCACCAGACTGATACTGCTCTAACTCCCATATTGATGTAACTAGAACCAGATTGTTTTAGGTTTATTTGTTGATTTGCCATCTCTCTCCCCTGCCTCATCGCTCTCTTCTTCAGCCAGACCTACATTTTTGAAGCCCCTGTAGAGCACTTGCAGCTCCTTCTTGGTGAACTTAGTCTGCTCCTGCAGCTTGTCCATGCTTTCAGGGCGATGGCACACAGTGGATAACTCAAAGTCATCTTCCACGCTGTCTGTGTGAGGAAGAGACCAATGTCAGTTAGCATCATCACTACCCTGACCTGGCCAACAAATTATAATGAAACTGACACTGAGCTCATCATGCAAGTATTATATAAGTATTATACTTTATTCATAGAGCAAAATACTATCCTTTATTTACAACAATGTTCATCATTATTTTATCACTGCATCAAAACATGAATGCAATTTTTATCCATAATTGTGAGGTTACTATATCAAGCAATTTCCACACATCTTTGTTCCATCATAAGTTACAGCACTTCATATCACAAAGCAAAACATGGTCAGTAATACATCTGTAAAACGACTGAATTTCCTGTCTGAAAGCTCAAGTACACTGAAGAAAGTGGGGAGAACCCTAAATGCCAAGGAAGTGAGAGAAGAGATTTAACGCTAATAAAAATGAAGAAGAGACATTTTAAAAGGTGTGGAAATGTGGTCACTAACAGATATTCCTCATCCCGTTCTCGTTCCATCTGTTTCTCCAAAAAATACCTGACAACTCATAGCAAATGTCATATATTATACGTTCTCAGACCTCTAGATCCTACTCGTATTGACCTCACTTTAATCTTTATCAGCCTGGTATCTCTGTGATAGGACTCACACACGCACGCACGGTCCATTGCCCACGAGAACAGAACACACTTAGAATCACAAAATGGGAAAACAGGTCTGACCCATTAGCAGCAACAACACCAGTGTTTCAGCGTGTGTGGGGTTGTGTGTTCCTATGTGACTGTATGTGGATTAATGTGTGCACTGTCTGTTGCGGTGGCTATGAGTACAGGACTGTATCCATACAAGAGTCTGTATGAACCTTTTTAGTCCCCTAAAGAAGCTGGACACATGCAATGAAGTTCAGATGTAAAGAGAGTGAAGGAGCACTTGCTTTCACTGATTGAGGGGGTAACCGAGGGATTGCAGCATGGCAGCAGCTTGAGGAATCGCTGCTTTATGGTTTTTTTGCTTTGGCTGTTGGAAGGATTACCTGCAATCACCAACCATAGCAAATAGGTTAGACACACACACTCAAGTCTGCAAATGTAATTCTGTTTCCGCACGCACATGCACACATGCCTGTAAAACCGAAAACACACTCCATGCAACGGACAGATGCAACATCAGAGTGATTCATGCCGTCAAGTCAAATTGGTAATTTCCCGCTGACCTGGCTTAGCGATGGGAGACCACGAGTACCACTTCAAACAGTAGATATTGCCACACAACAGCAACACAGCGTGACCCCTAGAAACACACGGTGTGTCCCCAGTCAGACTGGCTCTCATATCACCACGCCACATTCAGCAAACTGTATTCAATGCCAGCGGAGAATTTCAATTCAAAACACATCAAGTCAAACATCAACAGTTTTCACTCACAATCAATTTAAACAAGGACTTCACTTCATAGTGGAATATAACTTGCCACACAAATGTACTGCAACAACTATAGCCCGTCACGTCGACCACCATAATGCCACTTCATCTCAAAGCAAGCAAACCTCATGATGTTGGCTGTGTTTCACAGCCAAAGATAATGAAAATCAGATAGAGGAAGTAAAACACATGAACCCACGTACTTACGCTTGCCTCTTAGTTTCCATGGTAACAGTTCCCTCACCCCTTTTAGCAGAACCCCAGCGGTCTGAGGAATGAAGGCCATGATGTGAAGAAAACCAACAGAACCACAGCACCTCCACTGATTATCTAGCTTCTGACACCCTGTTGTCTCTCTGCTCCATGGAGCCTCAGCGACTCTGGCCCTCCTGACCTGTGTCTCTGGCATCATCCATTAATACATCCAGCACTCTCTGCCCCGGGGTCTCTGTGTGTGTAAGTACATTATATTTTTCCATGTGGACCCAACAACTGACCACAATACAGAAATGTTTATCAAATATTTTGACCAATAGTCAAATGTATAAGAATAAATTAGGGTACTTCTGAAGAAAGATGGAGGAGAAAATGGAGGAGACTAAATATAGAGAGTATTGCCTTTGCTTGTATGCACATCTACAAAAGATATTCCTGTCATTGTTCACCATTTCTGATCTTTACCTTTATAAAACAAACACAAAAAAGTAAATATTTAAGTTTGTCTGGCAAAGTAATCACAATGCATTTCTAAGCAGTGGTGGATGTCATAATGTTGTCACTGATTGAAGATAATGGTTGAATAAATTGAAGATAATTGTCACTAAATGGACTAATCTACTAAATGGACCTTGAGATTGTCAATTGCTGTTTCCAATGTCAAGAAAGAAACTTTTAAGCCAACATGGGCAGGAAGTCCTTTGGGCACTCAGAAAACATTTTCATGACAACTGGGTAACTCCACATGCTGAGAAAGATCATGTAACAATCGAAAGACCCAGAACAACAACTAAATGGACCTTGGGGTGAGATCGTTTGTCAATTTTTACTTCTTTATGTACTATTGTTAGTTTAAATGTAGTGGATTAGAATGAAATATATATTTCAATTTGCAAGATACAGTATGGAAGGACAAATATAAAGTAGGAAACAAAAATGGAAACACTAGCAAGGTCTAAACACCTCAATACAGTAAAACACCAGTGCTTAAGGTATATATAATGGTTATGTTTAAAGTTACAGATAGTCTCTTATCAATATCAATATCAATTTTATTTACATAGCACACTTAAAACAACCAAGGTTGGCCAAGGTGCTTCACAGGTTAAATACAATAACAATAACAGGTTAAATAACAACAAGACACTACTCACACAGTAAAAGTACAGCAACAAAACATTATAATATACAGTATACGATATATAGTGATATTAAAATTGCCAGGAATAATAACAGACTTAAGTCGAAGGAAATGCCAGAGAAAAGAGATGTGTTTTTACAATGATTTAAAACGTTCGAGAGTTGGGGCGGTTCTCATATGGACTGGCAGGTTGTTCCACAGGTTTGGAGCAGCTACACTAAAGGCTTGATCTCCTCTGGTTTTAAGTCTGCTTCTGGGTACATCCAGGAGAAGGAGATTGGCGGATCTCAGCACTCTAGCTGCAGTATGAACGTGAAGAAGCTCTATTAAGTACAATGGAGCCAATCCATTAAGGCATTTAAAAGTTAAAAGTAAGATTTTAAAATCAATCCTGTAATAAACAGGAAGCCAGTGGAGGGAGTGCAACATAGGTGTGATGTGGTCCCTCTTCTTCTTTCCTGTCAGGAGGCATGCAGCAGTATTTTGGACTAACTGCAGGCGCTGAAGCGATGACTTGTCTAAGCCCACATATAAGAAGTAGCAATAGTCAAGGCGGGAAGTTATGAAGGCATTTATCACCCTCTCCAAATCTTTAGGAGGGAGATAGGTCTTTACCTTGGCTATAGTTCTCAACTGGAAAAAGCAGGATCTAATAGTGGCGGATATCTGTTTATCAAATGTAAACACACTATCCAATACAACACCAAGACTCCTCACAGTTGAGCGGCTGTTTGAAGTTAAAGGGCCAAGAGAATCTACATCAAGCAGTTCAGGGCGTCCAAACACTATGATCTCTGTCTTGTCTCCGTTTAGGTTGAGGAAATTTAGATTCATCCACGCTGCAGTGAGCCCTTTGCTTTTACATTCAGGGGCAAATAAATTTGAATATCGTCTGCAAAACAGTGGAAAGAGACCTCATACCTCTCAAAAATGGAGGCCAGGGGCAGCATATACAAAGAAAATAAGATGGGGCCTCAGACAGAACCTTAAGGGACACCGCAGGTAAATGGGGCTGTCTCAGAGGAATAATCACCGAGGTGGACAGAGAAGCTCCTATCGGTTAGATAGGATTGAAACCACGTAAGTGCAGTACCTTTGATTACCACACTATTTTCCAACCGTGACAAGAGGATTGAGTGGTCAACAGTGTCAAAGGCAGCAGTGAGGTCTAAGAGCACTAGACCGGCAGAGAATCCTGAGTCAACAGTTAAAACCAAATCATTAAAAACTCTTAAAAGTGCCGTTTCAGTGCTGTGACGGGGTTTGAAGCCGGACTGGAACTTTTCATAAACATTATTATTAATTAAAAATGTTTGCAGCTGGGTAAAAACTACTTTCTCCAGGACTTTAGATAAGAAAGACAGTTTAGAGATGGGCCTGAAGTTACAGAGAACAGAGGGGTCGAGTTTTTCCTTTTTTAGCAGGGGCTGTACGACAGCATGTTTAAAAGCGGACATAACATGACCAGAGACAAGACAGGTATTTATCAGTGACAAAAAACATAGTCCAACGGTATCAAAGACTCTGCTCTTGTATAGCATTAAAGATTGTAGTTTTTATGAGGTATGTATTAGTAACTGTTGTGAAATACATTTTCAAAGTAGCCTTCTCAACCCTTATTGTTATTGTGTTGTACAACTTGTCGCTGGGTGTGAGCAGACTAAATTTAATTTCAACTGATTGTTCTGAAGGCCTGGACAGAGGTAGGTAAGAAACAAAAACAAAAACAAAAAAAACATCATGATTTCTACTTCCTCTGCTCTGCATGGGACACTAAGCTTGAAATACTTGTAAGAACCATGAAAGCTGGATTTTCTGGAAACTGTCACTGCTCAGATATGAGACACCCTTTCCTCTCTCCCCGTCTCATAGCCCTCTCTTCTTTGCTGGTGATGAAATTTCTTGCTTGTTGTGATGTCTTTGAGTAAATGTGCACCAGCTGTCTTGGCCAAGTCTGTCTTGGAATATAGATGTTTGATTTCAGAGGGATTAACCTGATTTTAATATGCCCACGCACACAAGCACTTCTCTTTAAGGTCCCCTATATTTGATAAAACATCTATCTATCTATCTATCTATCTATCTATCTATCTATCTATCTATTATCATAGAAACTAAGTTGCTATTGTTTTAATTGAAGTTGTATCTGATATTAACAGAATGCTGTGTCCTTTGTTGAAAACAAGTAGGTTACTGCGCTCACTATGCTAATGAAGTAACGTGATCAATTTGTTCTCCAGCCTTTGAAGTTAAA